CTCCTGTGTACCAGGCGAGGTAGTCAACATCTATCAGTGTCTGTGATTGAACCCACGACCTCCTGTGTACCAGGCGAGGTAGTCAACATCTCTCAGTGTCTCGGATTGAACCCACGACCTCCTGTGTACCAAGCGAGGTCGTCAACATCTCTGTGTCTGGGATTGAAACCACGACCTCCTGTGTACCAAGCGAGGTAGTCAACATCTCTCAGTGTCTGGGATTGAACCCACGACCTCCTGTGGACCAGGCGAGGTAGTCAACATCTCTCATGGTCTGGGATTGAACCCACGACCTCCTGCGATACCAGGCGAGGTAGTCAACATCTCTCAGGGTCTGGGATTGAATCCACGATCTCCTGTGTACCAGGCGAGGAAGTCAACATCTCTAAGTGTCTGTGATTGAACCCACGACCTCCTGTGTACCAGGCGAGGTAGTCAACATCTCTCAGTGTCTGGGATTGAACCCACGACCTCCTGTGTACCAGGCGAGGTAGTCAACATCTCTCAGTGTTTGTGATTGAACCCACGACCTCCTGTGTACCAGGTGAGGTAGTCAATATCTCTCAGTGTCTGGGATTGAACCCACGACCTCCTGTGTACCAGGCGAGGTAGTCAATATCTCTCAGGGTCTGGGATTGAACCCACGACCTCCTGTGTACCAGGCGAGATAGTCAACATCTCTCAGTGTCTGTGATTGAACCCACGACCTCCTGTGTACCAGGCGAGGTAGTCAACATCTCTCAGTGTCTCGGATTGAACCCACGACCTCCTGTGTACCAGGCGAGGTCGTCAACATCTCTGTGTCTGGGATTGAACCCACGACCTCCTGTGTACCTGGCGAGGTAGTCAACATTGCTCAGTGTCTGTGATTGAACCCACGACCTCCTGTGTACCAGGCGAAGTAGTCAACATCTCTCAGTGTCTCGGATTGAACCCACGACCTCCTGTGTACCAGGCGAGGTAGTCAACATCTCTAAGTGTCTGTGATTGAACCCACGACCTCCTGTAGACCAGGCGAGGTAGTCAATATCTCTCAGGGTCTGGGATTGAACCCACGACCTCCTGTGTACCAGGCGAGATAGTCAACATCTCTCAGTGTCTGTGATTGAACCCACGACCTCCTGTGTACCAGGCGAGGTAGTCAACATCTCTCAGTGTCTCGGATTGAACCCACGACCTCCTGTGTACCAGGCGAGGTCGTCAACATCTCTGTGTCTGGGATTGAACCCACGACCTCCTGTGTACCAGGCGAGGTAGTCAACATCGCTCAGTGTCTGTGATTGAACCCACGACCTCCTGTGTACCAGGCGAAGTAGTCAACATCTCTCAGTGTCTCGGATTGAACCCACGACCTCCTGTGTACCAGGCGAGGAAGTCAACATCTCTAAGTGTCTGTGATTGAACCCACGACCTCCTGTGTACTAGGCGAGGTAGTCAACATCTCTCAGTGTCTGGGATTGAACCCACGACCTCCTGTGTACCAGGCGAGATAGTCAACATCTCTCAGTGTTTGTGATTGAACCCACGACCTCCTGTGTACCAGGCGAGGTAGTCAACATCGTCAGTGTCTGGGATTGAACCCACGACCTCCTGTGTACCAGGCGAGGTAGTCAACATCTCTCAGTGTCTGGGAATGAACCCACGACCTCCTGTGTACCAGGCGAGGTAGTCAACATCTCTCAGTGTCTGGGATTGAACCCACGACGTCCTGTGTACCAGGCGAGGTAGTCAACATCTCTCAGTGTCTGGGATTGAACCCACGTCACGACGTTTCGACTGCAACACAAGAAGCAATCATCATCAGGTGTGAAAACCACAACAAGAAAATTTGGAAAAAAAAGTGGCGTTTTTATTTTTTAACGTCAGCACCACGGAGAGCGATTTGACAGTTTTGTTCAGGTGGACGAGTCCATCTATGTTCGGAAAAGAGGAGGGGGGTGGGAGAGACGAAAAAATAATGGATGCGGTCTGAAAGCCACCTTAAGCGTGAACAATCTATTAAGACCCGAAATCAAATAAAAAAATCAAATTCTCACGACGTTTCGACTGCAACACGAGCAGCAATCATCATCAGGTGTGAAACCCACAGCAAGAAAATTTGGAAAAAAAAAGTGGCGTTGGTTAACGTGGTTTTTTTATCGCTTTAATTTCGGTGATTTTCGAAAACGTTTTGGTTTAGCCACGTTTGCTTGTTGTTGTGCAGAGTTAGCCCGATAACTTTAATCTAGAGTTTTAGATTCAATTTATCAGGGCTGTTCGCGTTGTGGCCGAAACTTCGCGAGAATTTTATTTTATTGTTTTATTTTTTTATTATTTTATCATTTCGCTTATCTACGTGGTGATTTTACCGAAACTACCAAGGATATGAATCCAAAGCTTTTCAATCGAAATTTCTCTGGAAGACTTTTGCTGTAATTTTTTTGTTCGTAGTAGTCACTTTAAGATGTTTTCTTGTTCATGTTTGTTGTTGCGTTTGCACCCGAGTAGCGAGGCTCGCAGGGTTATAGCTAATGCATGAAACCAAAACTAAAAACATCGTGATGCCAACTTCGTCTTACCCCGGAAATCAACGACTTTTTGTACCCCTGAAGTGATTACATTTTTACCTCAGAATTCAATGACATTAAACCTCGTAATTAATTAATAAGTTACCTCTGAATTCAATGACATTAAACCTCACAATTCAATGACATTTTACCTCACAATTCAATGACAGTTTACCTCAGAATTCAATAACATTTTACTTCAGAATTCAATGACATTTTACTTCACAATTCAATGACATTTTACCTCAGAATTCAATGCTATTTTAACTCAGAATTCAATGATATTTTACCTCAGAATTAATTATTTTTTACCTTAGAATTCAATGAGATTTGACCTCAGAATTCAATGACATTTTACCTCAGAATTCAATGACATTTGACCTCAGAATTCAATGACATTTCACTTCAGAATTCAATGGCATTTTACCTCACAATTGAATGACATTTTACTTCAGAATTCAATGACATTTTACCTCTGAATTCAATGACATTTGACCTCAGAATTCAATGACATTTTACTTCACAATTCAATGACATTTTACTTCAAAATTCAATGACATTTTACTTCAGAATTCAATGACATTTTACCTCACAATTCAATGACATTTTACTTCAAAGTTCAATGACATTTTACTTCAGAATTCAATGACATGTTACCTCAGAATTAATTATATTTTTACCTTAGAATTCAATGAGATTTGACCTCAGAATTCAATGACATTTTACCTCAGAATTCAATGACATTTGACCTCAGAATTCAATGACATTTTACTTCAGAATTCAATGACATTTTACCTCACAATTGAATGACATTTTACTTCAGAATTCAATGACATTTTACCTCTGAATTCAATGACATTTTACTTCAAAATGCAATGACATTTTACTTCAGAATTCAATGACATTTTACCTCACAATTCAATGACATTTTACTTCAGAATTCAATGACATTATACTGCAGAATTCAATGACATTTTACCTCTGAATTCAATGACATTTTACTTCAGAATTCAATGACATTTTACTTCAGAATTCAATGACATTTTACTTCAGAATTCAATGACATTTTACCTCACAATTCAATGACATTTTACCTCACAATTCAATGACATTTTACTTCAGAATTCAATGACATTTTACCTCAGAATTTAATTACATTTTACCCCAGAATTAATGACATTTTACCTCAGAATTTAATTACATTTTACTTAGAATTCAATAACATTTTACCCCAGAATTAATGACATTTTACCTCAGAATTTAATTACATTTTACCTCGAATGCAATGAAATTTTTACCTCGGAATTAATTACATTTTACCGACGTTAGGTCAACGTTGGACGAACGTTGGGTCAACGTTGGATTAACGTTTGGTCAACGTGGGACCAACGTTGGTCTATCCACAACAAAGCGGCTGTTGATTGTCCACCCACAAAATAGTACTCGTTTTAACTGCCCCAATAAAACAGTATTGATGATGATGGTTGGCCCACGATAAAGCAGTGAGTTTTGTTCTCTTGTGGCAGCCTTGGGGAATTCACTTCGGAGGTAAAATGTAATTAATTCTGAGGTAAAATGTACTTAAGTTCTGAGGTAAAATTTAATTAATTTTGAGGTAAAATATACTTGATTTCTGAGGTAAAACGTAATTAATTTCTGAGGAAAAATTTAATTAATTTTGAGGTAAAATATACTTCATTATCTGAGGTAAAACGTAATTAATTTCGAGGTAAAATTTAATTAATTTCTGAGGCAAAATGTCATTAATTATGAAGAAAAATGTCTATTTCTGAGGTATAATGTAAAATTCTGAGGTAAAATGTACTTAATTTCTGAGGTTAAATTTGCTTAATTTAAAGGTAAAATATACTTAATTTCTGAGGTAAAACGTTATTAATTTCGAGGTAAAATTTTATTAATGTCTGAGGCAAAATGTCATTAATTATGAAGAAAAATGTCTATTTCTGAGATAAAGTCATAAATTCTGAGGTAAAATGTACTTAATTTCTGAGGTAAAATTTAATTACCTTTGAGGTAAAATGTCATTAATTCTGAAGTAAAATGTATAATGTCAAATTCTGAGGTAAAATGTAATTAATTCTGAGGCGAAATGTCATTAATTCTGGGGTTAAATGTCATTAATTGAGGTAAAATGTCATTAATTCTGAGGTGAAATGTCATAAATTTTCTCAAGTTAAATGACATTGAAATCTGAGGTAAAATTTCACTAATTCTGAGGTCAAATGTCATTAACTTTCTGACCCCACCCCACCCCCAGCGCGGCCGCTTACCTAATCAACGTGTGAACGAAAGAGCTTCACAGCTCATCGGATTTCCTCCCTCCCCCCCACCCGGAATACAAAACAAACAAATAAATAAATAAAAAAAATCCAACGTCGGAATTTTAAAACGCGAACAAAATCACCGCGGTCCCTTTCGGCGAGGATTGTCGCCCCATTGGCTCCCCGCCGGTCACGTGGGGGTCACGGGGGGCCGGGGAGGGGTGGAGACAAACTCTCGGCTGGGTTCGAGACGTTTTGGCGCCAAAAAAATCGAAGGAGGTTCGCCTCACGGCGTCAGCGAAAGGGCTCCGGTAAGATGTTCGCTTATTAAGTTTAATTTTTTTCTGTTTGTCTTCTTTTACAACGTAATAAGTTTTTTTGTTGTTGTAATTTTGGGTTAGATCGCGTCAATATATAAATAGCCTGTCGCTAAAAACCCCGCCGGTTTAGTGTCACGTTAACAGAATTAGGCTAATTCGTTACTAGTACAGCACTAGTGTAGTGTGTAGTGTATAGTAGTATAGTATACTACTACAGCACTAGTGTATAGTGTAGTGTGTAGTAGTGTATAGTGTTGTGTATAGTATAGTGTACTAGTACAGCACTAGTATAGTGTATAGTATAGTATACTAGTACAGCACTAGTGTATAGTGTAGTAGTGTATAGTAAAGTATACTAGTTCAGCACTAGTGTATAGTGTAGTGTGTAGTAGTGTATAGTATAGTGTACTAGTACAGCACTAGTGTATAGTGTAGTGTATAGTATACTAGTACAGCACTAGTGTATAGTGTAGTGTGTAGTAGTGTATAGTGTAGTGTATAGTGTAGTGTACTAGTACAGCACTAGTGTATAGTGTAGTATGTAGTGTATAGTGTAGTGTATAGTATAGTATACTAGTACAGCACTAGTGTATAGTGTAGTGTATAGTATAGTTTACTAGTACAGCACTAGTGTGTAGTGTAGTGTATAGTGTAGTGTATAGTATAGTGTACTAGTACAGCACTAGTGTATAGTGTAGTATGTAGTGTATAGTGTAGTGTACTAGTACAGCACTAGTGTATAGTGTAGTGTGTAGTGTATAGTGTAGTGTACTAGTACAGCACTAGTGTATAGTGTAGTGTACTAGTACAGCACTAGTGTATAGTGTAGTGTACTAGTACAGCACTAGTGTATAGTGTAGTATATAGTGTAGTGTATAGTGTAGTGTACTAGTACAGCACTAGTGTATAGTGTAGTGTGTAGTGTATAGTGTAGTGTACTACTACAGCACTCGTGTAGTGTATAGTATACTAGTACAGCACTAGTGCATTGTATAGTGTAGTGTATAGTGTAGTGTACTAGTACAGCACTAGTGTATAGTGTAGTGTATAGTGTAGCGTACTAGTACAGCACTAGTGTATAGTGTAGTGTATAGTGTAGTGTACTAGTACAGCACTCGTGTAGTGTATAGTATAGTTTACTAGTACAGCACTAGTGTATAGTGTAGTGTATAGTGTAGTATACTAGTACAGCACTAGTGTATAGTATAGTGTATAGTATAGTATACTAGTACAGCACTAGTGTATAGTGTAGTAGTGTACAGTGTAGTGTATAGTGTAGTGTACTAGTACAGCACTCGTGTAGTGTATAGTGTAGTGTATAGTGTAATGTATAGTGTAGTGTATAGTGTAGTTTACTAGTACAGCACTAGTGTATAGTATAGTGAATGGTGTAGTGTATAGTGTAGTTTACTAGTACAGCACTAGTGTATAGTGTAGTGTATTATTCCAGCGCTAGTGTATAGTGTAGTGTATAGTGTAGTGTATAGTGCAGTGTATAGTATAGTGTAGTGTATAGTGTTATGTAGTGTATAGTGTAGTGTATAGTGTAGTGTACTAGTACAGCACTAGTGTATAGTGTAGTATATAGTGTAGTGTGTAGTGTAGTGTTCTAGTACAGCACTAGTGTATAGTGTAGTGTGTAGTGTATAGTGTAGTGTACTACTACAGCACTCGTGTAGTGTATAGTATAGTATACTAGTACAGCACTAGTGCATAGTATAGTGTAGTGTATAGTGTAGTGTACTAGTACAGCACTAGTGTATAGTGTAGTGTATAGTGTAGTGTACTAGTACAGCACTAGTGTATAGTGTAGTGTATAGTGTAGCGTACTAGTACAGCAATAGTGTAGTGTGTATAGTGTAGTGTATAGTGTAGTGTACTAGTACAGCACTCGTGTAGTGTATAGTATAGTTTACTAGTACAGCACTAGTGTATAGTGTAGTGTATAGTGTAGTATACTAGTACAGCACTAGTGTATAGTATAGTGTATAGTATAGTATACTAGTACAGCACTAGTGTATAGTGTAGTAGTGTACAGTGTAGTGGATAGTGTAGTGTACTAGTACAGCACTCGTGTAGTGTATAGTGTAGTGTATAGTGTAATGTATAGTGTAGTGTATAGTGTAGTTTACTAGTACAGCACTAGTGTATAGTATAGTGTATGGTGTAGTGTATAGTGTAGTTTACTAGTACAGCACTAGTGTATAGCATATAGTGTAGTGTATTATTACAGCGCTAGTGTATAGTGTAGTGTATAGTGTAGTGTATAGTGTAGTGTATAGTGTAGTGTATAGTGTAGTGTACTAGTACAGCACTAGTGTATAGTGTAGTGTATAGTGTAGTATACTAGTACAGCACTAGTGTATAGTGTAGTGTGTAGTGTATAGTGTAGTATGTAGTGTATAGTGTAGTGTATAGTGTGTAGTGTATAGTGTAGTATACTGGTACACCAATACACCGGTTGTGTTAGAGAGTCAACCCACAACATCGTTTACATAATAGTGTAATATATAGTAGTGTAGTGTATAGTGTAGTATACTACTAATTGTAATTACTGGCGAAACGTCACAGTACTCAGATGGTAAATATTGTGGATTTGCTCTCCAACACACAACCGGTCTAGTGCTGTGGGGAGCGGTAGTGTAGCGGTTAGCGCTATGCTGCACTATGAACCTGGCGACCCGGGTTCGATTCCCGCTCACGGCCAACACCAGTGACGATTATCTGAACCGGTCCCGGGCCTCCCCTAGGTCGACTCAGCCTCAAATGAGTACCTGGTGTGGTGTGTAAACATTGCCACTAGGGAGACAAAGGCGGTCGGGCGTGGTGCTGGCCACCCACCCCCTCGTGTACCGTTCCGGCCTTCATAGGTGTTCGCTAACAGCACTTGCCCCTACAGTCTGTTAAGGCTATACGGGGGATCTTTGTGTGCATCACTGTGTGTGTCTCAATGTGGTTCTGTGTCTGTAGCTCAGTGTGGGTTCGCTCTGTGTGTGTCTGGCTGTGTGTCTCGGTGTTGGTCTGTGTGTGTCTCGGTGTGGGTCTGTGTGTGTCTCGGTGTGGGTCTCTGTGTGTGTCTCAGTCTAGTTCTGTGTTTGTCTCAGTGTGGTTCTGTGTGTCTCAGTGTGGGTCTGTGTGTGTCTCAGTGTGGGTCTGTGTGTGTCTCAGTGTGGGTCTGTGTGTGTCTCAGTGTGGGTCTGTGTGTGTCTCAGTGTGGGTCTGTGTGTGTCTCAGTGTGGGTCTGTGTGTGTCTCAGTGTGGTGGTCTGTGTGTGTCTCAGTGTGGGTCTGTGTGTGTCTCAGTGTGGGTCTGTGTGTGTCTCAGTGTGGGTCTGTGTGTGTCTCAATGTGGGTCTGTGTGTGTCTCAGTGTGGGTCTGTGTGTGTCTCAGTGTGGGGTGTCTGTGTCTCAGTGTGGTTCTGTGTGTGTCTCAGTGTGGTTCTGTGTGTCTGTGTCTCAGTGTGGGTCTGTGTGTGTCTCAGTGTGGGGTGTGGGTGTCTCAGTGTGGGTCTGTGTCTCAGTGTGGTTCTCTGTGTGTGTCTCAGTGTAGTTCTGTGTGTCTCAGTGTGGGTCTGTGTGTGTCTCAGTGTGGTTCTCTGTGTGTCTCAGTGTGGGTCTGTGTGTCTCAGTGTGGTTCTGTGTGTCTCAGTGTGGGTCTGTGTGTGTCTCTGTGTGGGTCTGTGTGTGTCTCAGTGTGGGTCTGTGTGTGTCTCAGTGTGGTTCTGTCTGTGTCTCAGTGTGGTGGTCTGTGTGTGTCTCAGTGTGGGTCTGTGTGTGCCTCAGTGTGTGTCTCAGTGTGGGTCTGTGTGTGTCTCAGTGTGGGTCTGTGTGTGTCTCAGTGTGGGTCTGTGTGTGTCTCAGTGTGGGTTTGTGTGTGTCTCTGTGTGGGTCTGTGTGTGTCTCTGTGTGGTTCTGTGTGTGTCTCAGTGTGGTTCTGTCTGTGTCTCAGTGTGGTGGTCTGTGTGTGTCTCAGTGTGGGTCTGTGTGTGCCTCAGTGTGTGTCTCAGTGTGGGTCTGTGTGTGTCTCAGTGTGGGTCTGTGTGTGTCTCAGTGTGGGTCTGTGTGTGTCTCAGTGTGGGTTTGTGTGTGTCTCTGTGTGGGTCTGTGTGTGTCTCTGTGTGGTTCTGTGTGTGTCTCAGTGTGGGTCTGTGTGTGTCTCAGTGTGGTGGTCTGTGTGTGTCTCAGTGTGGGTCTGTGTGTGTCTCAGTGTGGGTCTCTGTGTGTGTCTCGGTGTGGGTCTGTGTGGGTCTCAGTGTGTCAGTGTTTGTCTCAGTGTGGGTCTGTGTGTGTCTCAGTGTAGTTCTGTGTGTGTCTCAGTGTGGGTCTGTGTGTCTCAGTGTGGTGGTCTGTGTGTGTCTCAGTGTGGGTCTGTGTGTGTCTCAGTGTGGGTCTGTGTGTGTCTCAGTGTGTGTCTCGGTGTGGGTCTGTGTGTGTCTCTGTGTGGGTCTGTGTGTGTCTCAGTGTGGGGTGTCTGTGTCTCAGTGTGGGTCTGTGTGTGTCTCAGTGTGGTTCTGTGTGTCTCAGTGTGGGTCTGTGTGTGTCTCGGTGTGGGTCTGTGTGTGTCTCAGTGTGGGTCTGTGTGTGTCTTAGTGTGGGTCTGTGTGTGTCTTAGTGTGGGTCTGTGTGTGTCTCAGTGTGGGGTGTCTGTGTCTCAGTGTGGGTCTGTGTGTGTCTCAGTGTGGGTCTGTGTGTGTCTCAGTGTGGGTCTGTGTGTGTCTTAGTGTGGGTCTGTGTGTGTCTTAGTGTGGGTCTGTGTGTGTCTCAGTGTGGTTCTGTGTGTGTCTCTGTGTGGGTCTGTGTGTGTCTCAGTGTGGGGTGTCTGTGTCTCAGTGTGGGTCTGTGTGTGTCTCAGTGTGGGTCTGTGTGTGTCTCAGTGTGGGTCTGTGTGTGTCTCAGTGTGGGTCTGTGTGTGTCTCAGTGTAGTTCTGTGTGTGTCTCAGTGTGGGTCTGTGTGTGTCTCAGTGTGGGTCTGTGTCTCGGTGTGGTTCTGTGTGTCTCAGTGTGGTTCTGTGTGTGTCTCAGTGTGGGTCTGTGTGTGTCTCAGTGTGGTGGTCTGTGTGTGTCTCAGTGTGGGTCTGTGTGTGTCTCAGTGTGGGTCTGTGTGTGTCTCAGTGTGGTTCTCTGTGTGTCTCAGTGTGTCTGTGTGTGTCTCAGTGTGGGTCTGTGTATGTCTCAGTGTGGGTCTGTGTCTCAGTGTGGGTCTTTGTGTGTCTCAGTGTGGTTCTGTGTGTCTCAGTGTGGTTCTCTGTGTGTCTCAGTGTGGTTCTGTGTGTCTCAGTGTGGGTCTGTGTATGTCTCAGTGTGGTTCTCTGTGTGTCTCGGTGTGGTTCTGTGTGTGTCTCGGTGTGGTTCTGTGTGTCTGTGTCTCAGCGTGCGTGTCCCAGCGTGTGTCTCTGTCTCTCTCGGCCGCGTCAGGCCTCCGTCGCGATGGACGGTGCCGCCTGCGTCAGGGCGCTGGTGCTAGCAGTGACCCACTACCGCCACAGCCGCACGGAGGCCAACGCTCACCTCCTCCTCACCAGCGTCCAGGTGAGGGCACGCACACGGCAGCTGGGCTGTGCGGGGAATGGGGAGTGAATGGGTGGGATGTTGACCACCTCACCTGGTATACAGGAGATGTTAACCACCTCACCTGGTATACAGGAGATGTTAACCACCTCACCTGGTATACAGGAGATGTTAACCACCTCACCTGGTATACAGGAGATGTTAACCACCTCATCTGGTAAACAGGAGATGTTAACCACCTTACCTGATATACAGGAGATGTTATCTACCTTACCTGGTATACAGAAGATGTTAACCACCTCACCTGGTATACAGGAGATGTTAACCACCTTACCTGATATACAGGAGATGTTAACCACCTCACCTGGTATACAGGAGATGTTAACCACCTCACCTGGTATACAGGAGATATTAACCCCCTCACCTGATATACAGGAGATGTTAACTACCTCACCTGATATACAGGAGATGTTGACTACCTCACCTGGTATACAGGAGATGTTAACTACCTCACCTGATATACAGGAGATGTTAACTACCTCACCTGGTATACAGAAGATGTTAACCACCTCGCCTGGTATACAGGAGATGTTAACCACCTCACCTGGTATACAGGAGATGTTAACCACCTCACCTGGTATACAGGAGATGTTAACCACCTCACCTGGTATACAGGAGATGTTAACCACCTCACCTGGTATACAGGAGATGTTAACCACCTCACCTGGTATACAGGAGATGTTAACCACCTCACCTGGTATACAGGAGATGTTAACCACCTCACCTGGTATACAGGAGATGTTAACTACCCCATCTGATATACAGGAGATGTTAACCACCTCACCTGGTATACAGGAGATGTTAACCACCTCACCTGGTATACAGGAGATGTTAACCACCTCACCTGATATACAGGAGATGTTAACCACCTCGCCTGGTATACAGGAGATGTTAACCACCTCACCTGGTATACAGGAGATGTTAACCACCTCACCTGGTATACAGGAGATGTTAACTACCTCACCTGGTATACAGGAGATGTTAACCACCTCACCTGGTATACAGGAGATATTAACCCCCTCACCTGATATACAGGAGATGTTAACTACCTCACCTGATATACAGGAGATGTTGACTACCTCACCTGGTATACAGGAGATGTTAACTACCTCACCTGATATACAGGAGATGTTAACTACCTCACCTGGTATACAGAAGATGTTAACCACCTCGCCTGGTATACAGGAGATGTTAACCACCTCACCTGGTATACAGGAGATGTTAACCACCTCACCTGGTATACAGGAGATGTTAACCACCTCACCTGGTATACAGGAGATGTTAACCACCTCACCTGGTATACAGGAGATGTTAACCACCTCACCTGGTATACAGGAGATGTTAACCACCTCACCTGGTATACAGGAGATGTTAACCACCTCACCTGGTATACAGGAGATGTTAACTACCCCATCTGATATACAGGAGATGTTAACCACCTCACCTGGTATACAGGAGATGTTAACCACCTCACCTGGTATACAGGAGATGTTAACCACCTCACCTGATATACAGGAGATGTTAACCACCTCGCCTGGTATACAGGAGATGTTAACCACCTCACCTGGTATACAGGAGATGTTAACCACCTCACCTGGTATACAGGAGATGTTAACCACCTCACCTGGTTTACAGGAAATGTTAACCCCCTCACCTGATATACAGGAGATGTTATCTACCTTACCTGGTATACAGAAGATGTTAACCACCTCACCTGGTTTACAGGAAATGTTAACCCCCTCACCTGATATACAGGAGATATTAACCCCCTCACCTGATATACAGGAGATGTTAACTACCTCACCTGATATACAGGAGATGTTGACTACCTCACCTGGTATACAGGAGATGTTAACTACCTCACCTGATATACAGGAGATGTTAACTACCTCACCTGGTATACAGAAGATGTTAACCACCTCGCCTGGTATACAGGAGATGTTAACCACCTCACCTGGTATACAGGAGATGTTAACTACCTTACCTGGTATACAGGAGATGTTAACCACCTCATCTGGTATACAGGAGATGTTAACCACCTCACCTGGTATACAGGAGATGTTAACCACCTCACCTGGTATACAGGAGATGTTAACCACCTCACCTGGTATACAGGAGATGTTAACCACCTCACCTGGTTTACAGGAAATGTTAACCCCCTCACCTGATATACAGGAGATGTTAACCACCTCACCTGGTATACAGGAGATGTTAACCACCTCACCTGGTATACAGGAGATGTTAACCACCTCACCTGATATACAGGAGATGTTATCTACCTTACCTGGTATACAGAAGATGTTAACCACCTCACCTGGTATACAGGAGATGTTAACCACCTTACCTGATATACAGGAGATGTTAACCACCTCACCTGGTATACAGGAGATGTTAACCACCTCACCTGGTATACAGGAGATGTTAACCACCTCACCTGGTATACAGGAGATGTTAACCACCTCACCTGGTATACAGGAGATGTTAACCACCTCACCTGGTATACAGGAGATGTTAACCACCTCACCTGGTAGACAGGAGATGTTAACCACCTCACCTGGTATACAGGAGATGTTAACTACCCCATCTGATATACAGGAGATGTTAACCACCTCACCTGGTATACAGGAGATGTTAACCACCTCACCTGGTATACAGGAGATGTTAACCACCTCACCTGATATACAGGAGATGTTAACTACCTCACCTGGTATACAGGAGATGTTTACTACCTCACCTGATATACAGGAGATGTTATCTACCTCACCTGGTATACAGGAGATGTTAACCACCTCACCTGGTATACAGGAGATGTTAACCACCTCACCTGATATACAGGAGATGTTTACTACCTCACCTTGTATACATGAGATGTTAACCACCTCACCTGATATACAGGAGATGTTATCTACCTCACCTGGTATACAGGAGATGTTAACTACCTTACCTGGTATACAGAAGATGGTAACCACCTCACCTGGTATACAGGAGATGTTAACTACCTTACCTGGTATACAGGAGATGTTAACCACCTCACCTGGTATACAGGAGATGTTAACCACCTCACCTGGTATACAGGAGATGTTAACTACCCCATCTGATATACAGGAGATGTTAACCACCTCACCTGGTATACAGGAGATGTTAACCACCTCACCTGGTATACAGGAGATGTTAACCACCTCACCTGATATACAGGAGATGTTAACCACCTCACCTGATATACAGGAGATGTTTACTACCTCGCCTTGTATACAGGAGATGTTTCGTAAGCTGAAGAGAGGTCAGTGAAAGCTGTTGTTGTTTTGAGCTTGCGTTGATGATGTTGATGATGTTGATGTTGTTAATGTCGTTGATGATGTTGTTGATGATGTTGATGATGTTGTTGATGTTGTTGATGATGTTGATGATGTTGATGATGTTGATGTTGTTGATGTTGTTGTTGATGATGTTGATGATGTTGATGATGTTGATGTTGTTGTTGCAGGCTGTGCTGGGGCAGAAGGCGGCGCTGCTACGTCCGCCACCGCCATCGCCGTCGCCGCTGCCGCTGCCGGCAGAGTGCGTGAGCGAGCTTGTGGCTCTGCTGTGGCACGCGCAAAGTCCACACGAGCTGACGCTCGCCATCGTCAGCCTCTTCTCACTGCTCGGTGCTCTCTCGCTCGCTCACTCACTCACTCACTCACTATCACTCACACGCTCACTCACTATCACTCACACTCTCGCTATCACTCACACACTCGCTATCACTCACACACTCACTCACACACACACTATCACTCACACACACACACACTATCACTCACACTCACACTCGCTATCACTCACACTCACACACACTATCACTCACACACTATCACTCACACTCACACACACTATCACTCACACTCGCTATCACTCACACACTCACACACTCACACTCGCTATCACTCACACACACACTATCACTCACACTCGCTATCACTCACACTCGCTATCACTCACACACACACTCACACTCGCTATCACTCACACTCGCTATCACTCACACACACACTCGCTATCACTCACACACACACTCGCTATCACTCACACACACACTCGCTATCACTCACTCACTATCACTCGCACACACACTCACACTCGCTATCACTCACACACACACACTCGCTATCACTCACTCACTATCACTCGCACACACACTCACTATCACTCGCACACACACTCACACTCGCTATCACTCACACTCGCTATCACTCACACACACACTCACACTCGCTATCACTCACTAACTATCACTCGCACACACACTCACTCTCACTATCACTCACTCACTATCACTCGCACACACACACACACTCACTCACTATCACACACACTCACACTCGCTATCACTCACACACACACTCACACTCGCTATCACTCACTAACTATCACTCGCACACACACTCACACTCGCTATCACTCACACTCGCTATCACTCACACACACACTCGCTATCACTCACACACACACTCACACTCGCTATCACTCACACTCACACACTCACTTGCTATCACTCACTCACACACACACTCACTATCACTCACACTCACTCGCTATCACTCACACACACACTCACTATCACTCACACGCTCACTATCACTCACACGCTCACTCACACTCGCTATCACTCACACACACAATATCACTCACACACACACTCGCTATCACTCACACGCTCACTCACACTCGCTATCACTCACACGCTCACTCACACTCGCTATCACTCACACACTCGCTCACACTCGCTATCACTCACACGCTCACTCACACACACACACTCGCTATCACTCACACACACACTCGCTATCACTCACATGCTCACTCACACTCGCTATCACTCACACGCTCACTCACACTCGCTATCACTCACACACTCACTCACACTCGCTATCACTCACACGCTCACTCACACACACACTCGCTATCACTCACACACACACTCGCTATCACTCACACGCTCACTCGCTATCACTCACATGCTCACTCACACTCGCTATCACTCACACACTCACTCACACTCGCTATCACTCACACGCTCACTCACACACACACTCGCTATCACTCACACACACACTCGCTATCACTCACACGCTCACTATCACTCACACGCTCACTATCACACACACACTCACTATCACTCACACACTCACTCACACTCGCTATCACTCACACGCTCACTATCACTCACACACTCGCTATCACTCACACACACACTCGCACACTATCACTCACACGCTCGCTCACTATCACTCACACACTCGCTATCACTCGCACGCTCGCTCCCTATCACTCACACGCTCACTATCACTCACACAATCACTCACTCGCTCACACACACACATTCACACTCGCTATCACTCACACACACACTCGCTATCACTCACACGCTCGCTATCACTCACACACACACTCGCTATCACTCACACGCTCGCTATCACTCACACGCTCACTCACACACACACTCGCTATCACTCACACGCTCACTATCACTCACACACTCACTCACTCACACACACACACACACTCGCTATCACTCACACACTCACTATCACTCACACGCTCACTCACACACACACTCGCTATCACTCACACGCTCACACACACACTCACACTCACTATCACTCACACACACACTCGCTATCACTCACACGCTCGCTATCACTCACACACTCGCTATCACACACACACTCGCTATCACTCACACGCTCACTATCACTCACACACTCACTCACTCACTCACATGCTCACACACACACTCACACTCACTATCACTCACACACACACTCGCTATCACTCACACGCTCGCTATCACTCACACGCTCGCTATCACTCACACGCTCACTCACACACACACTCGCTATCACTCACACGCTCACTATCACTCACACACTCACTCACACACACACACTCGCTATCACTCACACGCTCACTATCACTCACACACTCACTCACTCACACACACTCGCTATCACTCACACACTCACTATCACTCACACACTCACTCACTCACACACACACACTCGCTATCACTCACACGCTCACTATCACTCACACACTCACTCACTCACACACACACACTCGCTATCACTCACACGCTCACAATCACTCACACTCACTATCACTCACACACACACTCGCTATCACTCACACACACACTCGCTATCACTCACACGCTCACTATCACTCACACGCTCGCTCACTATCACTCACACACTCGCTATCACTCGCACGCTCGCTCCCTATCACTCACACGCTCACTATCACTCACACAATCACTCACTCGCTCACACACACACATTCACACTCGCTATCACTCACACACACACTCGCTATCACTCACACGCTCGCTATCACTCACACACACACTCGCTATCACTCACACGCTCGCTATCACTCACACGCTCACTCACACACACACTCGCTATCACTCACACGCTCACTATCACTCACACACTCACTCACTCACACACACACACACACTCGCTATCACTCACACACTCACTATCACTCACACACTCACTCACACACACACTCGCTATCACTCACACGCTCACACACACACTCACACTCACTATCACTCACACACACACTCGCTATCACTCACACGCTCGCTATCACTCACACACTCGCTATCACACACACACTCGCTATCACTCACACGCTCACTATCACTCACACACTCACTCACTCACTCACATGCTCACACACACACTCACACTCACTATCACTCACACACACACTCGCTATCACTCACACGCTCGCTATCACTCACACGCTCGCTATCACTCACACGCTCACTCACACACACACTCGCTATCACTCACACGCTCACTATCACTCACACACTCACTCACACACACACACTCGCTATCACTCACACGCTCACTATCACTCACACACTCACTCACTCACACACACTCGCTATCACTCACACACTCACTATCACTCACACACTCACTCACTCACACACACACACTCGCTATCACTCACACGCTCACTATCACTCACACACTCACTCACTCACACACACACACTCGCTATCACTCACACGCTCACAATCACTCACACTCACTATCACTCACACACACACTCGCTATCACTCACACACACACTCGCTATCACTCACACGCTCACTATCACTCACACGCTCGCTATCACTCACACACACGCTCACTATCACTCACACGCTCACTATCACTCACTCACACACACTATCACACACACGCTCACTATCACTCACGCACTCACTCACACACACTCGCTATCACTCACACACTCACTATCACTCACACACTCACTCACACACACACACTCGCTATCACTCACACGCTCACTATCACTCACACACTCACTATCACTCACACACTCACTCACTCACACACACACACTCGCTATCACTCACACGCTCACTATCACTCACACGCTCACTCACTATCACTCACACTCACTATCACACACACACTCGCTATCACTCACACACACACTCGCTATCACTCACACGCTCACTATCACTCACACGCTCGCTATCACTCACACACACGCTCACTATCACTCACACGCTCACTATCACTCACACACTCACTATCACTCACACACACACTATCACTCACACGCTCACTATCACTCACACGCTTACTATCACTCACACGCTCGCTATCACTCACACTCTTGCTCCCTATCACTCACACTCACTATCACTCACACACACACTCACTATCACTCACACTCACTATCACACACACACTCGCTATCACTCACACACACACTCGCTATCACTCGCACGCTCACTATCACTCACACGCTCGCTATCACTCGCACACACGCTCACTATCATTCAAACACACACTCGCTATCACTCGCACGCTCGCTCCCTATCACTCACACGCTCACTATCACTCACACGCTCACTCACTCGCTCACACACACGCTCACTATCACTCACACGCTCACTATCACTCACTCACACACACTATCACTTACACGCTCACTATCACTCACACACTCACTCACACACACGCTCACTATCACTCACACACTCACTCACACACACACACTCGCTATCACTCGTACGCTCGCTCCCTATCACTCACACGCTCACTATCACTCACACACACACTCACTATCACTCACACGCTCACTCACTATCATTCACACGCTCACTCACTCGCACACTATCATTCACACACTCACTCACTCGCTATCACTCGCACACTCGCTCACTCGATCGAACACTCGCTCGAACACTCGCTCACTATCACTCACACGCTCACTCACACACACACACGCTATCACTCACTCGCACACTCGCTCACTATCACTCACTCGCACACTCACTATCACTCACACGCTCACTATCACTCACACACTCACTCACTCACACACACTCGCTATCACTCACACGCTCACTATCACTCACACACTCACTCACTCACACACACACACTCGCTATCACTCACACGCTCACTATCACTCACACACTCACTCACTCACACACACACACTCGCTATCACTCACACGCTCACAATCACTCACACTCACTATCACTCACACACACACTCGCTATCACTCACACACACACTCGCTATCACTCACACGCTCACTATCACTCACACGCTCGCTATCACTCACACACACGCTCACTATCACTCACACGCTCACTATCACTCACTCACACACACTATCACTCACACGCTCACTATCACTCACGCACTCACTCACACACACTCGCTATCACTCACACACTCACTATCACTCACACACTCACTCACACACACACACTCGCTATCACTCACACGCTCACTATCACTCACACACTCACTATCACTCACACACTCACTCACTCACACACACACACTCGCTATCACTCACACGCTCACTATCACTCACACGCTCACTCACTATCACTCACACGCTCACTATCACTCACACACTCACTATCACTCACACACTCACTCACTCACACACACTCGCTATCACTCACACGCTCACTATCACTCACACGCTCGCTATCACTCACACACACGCTCACTATCACTCACACGCTCACTATCACTCACACACTCACTATCACTCACACACACACACACTATCACTCACACGCTCACTATCACTCACACGCTTACTATCACTCACACGCTCGCTATCACTCACACGCTTGCTCCCTATCACTCACACTCACTATCACTCACACACACACTCACTATCACTCACACTCACTATCACACACACACTCGCTATCACTCACACACACACTCGCTATCACTCGCACGCTCACTATCACTCACACGCTCGCTATCACTCGCACACACGCTCACTATCACTCACACGCTCACTCGCTATCACTCACACGCTCACTATCATTCAAACACACACTCGCTATCACTCGCACGCTCGCTCCCTATCACTCACACGCTCACTATCACTTACACGCTCACTCACTCGCTCACACACACGCTCACTATCACTCACACGCTCACTATCACTCACTCACACACACTATCACTTACACGCTCACTATCACTCACACACTCACTCACACACACGCTCACTATCACACACTCACTCACACACACACACTCGCTATCACTCGTACGCTCGCTCCCTATCACTCACACGCTCACTATCACTCACACACACACTCACTATCACTCACACGCTCACTCACTATCATTCACACGCTCACTCACTCGCACACTATCATTCACACACTCACTCACTCGCTATCACTCGCTTACTCACACACACACTCGCTCACTCGATCGAACACTCGCTCGAACACTCGCTCACTATCACTCACACGCTCACTCACACACACACACGCTATCACTCACTCGCACACTCGCTCACTATCACTCACTCGCACACTCACTATCACTCACACGCTCACTATCACTCACACACTCGCTCACGCGCTCACTCACTCACACGTTCACTCACTCACACGCTATCACTCACTCACAAGCCCATCACCACTCACACGCTCACTTGCTCACTCACACGCTCGCGATCACACACACGCACGCACGCACACTTGCTCGCTCACTCTCGCTCACTCGCATTCACTCACTTGCACCCTCGCTCGCTCACACGCTCACTCGCACACTCGCTCACACGCTCACTCACACACGCTCGCAATTACCCACACACGCGCTCACTCACTTACATGCTCAGTCGCTCGCACGCTCACTCACACATTCATACGCTCGCTATCACTCACTCACTCACAAGCCCATCGCCACTCGCACACTCGCATGCTCACTCACACGCTCGCGATCACACACATGCACGCACGCACACACTCGCTCTGCTCACTCTCGCTCACTAGCATTCACTCAACTTGCACCCTCACGCGCTCACTATCACTCGCACGCTCGCTCACACGCTCACTATCACTCGCACGCTCGCTCGCTCACGCTCTCAGTCACTCACACGCACGCTGTCGCTCGCACAGACAATCGCTGTCACTCACACGCTCGCGATCACTCGCAACAACAACCGCTATTAGCCACTAAGTGGCGATGACGTCACCGCGGCGCTTGTGCCAGGCTATGTGCATTTTAAGGCCACGTGAAGTGCCGAACGCCCGCTGCCAGGAGGTCACGGGACAGACTCAGGTGCCATGGGTTGACTTGAGTTTGATTGATGCTGATTGGCTGTGGCTCTGCCGTCATCCACTCAGTGGGCTGAGTTTGATTGATGCTGATTGGCTGTGGCTCAGCCGTCACCCACTCAGTGGGCCGAGTTTGATTGATGCTGATTGGCTGTGGCTCTGCCGTCATTCACTCAGTGGGGTGAGTTTGATTGATGCTGATTGGCTGTGGCTCTGCTCTCATCCACTCAGAGGGCTGAGTTTGATTGATGGTGATTGGCTGTGGCTCTGCCGTCATCCACTCAGAGGGCTGAGTTTGATTGATGCTGATTGGCTGTGGCTCTGCCGTCATCCACTCAGAGGGCTGAGTTTGATTGATGCTGATTGGCTGTGGCTCTGCCGTCATTCACTCAGAGGGCTGAGTTTGATTGATGCTGATTGGCTGTGGCTCTGCCGTCATCCACTCAGTGGGCTGAGTTTGATTGATGCTGATTGGCTGTGGCTCTGCCGTCATTCACTCAGTGGGCTGAGTTTGATTGATGCTGATTGGCTGTGGCTCTGTTGTCATCCACTCAGAGGGCTGAGTTTGATTGATGCTGATTGGCTGTGGCTCTGCCGTCATCCGCTCAGTGGGCTGAGTTTGATTGATGTTGATTGGCTGTGGCTCTGCTGTCATCCACTGAGTGGGCTGAGTTTGATTGATGCTGATTGGCTGTGGCTCAGCTGTCATCCACTCAGAGGTCTGAGTTTGATTGATGCTGATTGGCTGTGGCTCTGCTCTCATCCACTCAGAGGGCTGAGTTTGATTGATGGTGATTGGCTGTGGCTCTGCCGTCATCCACTCAGAGGGCTGAGTTTGATTGATGCTGATTGGCTGTGGCTCTGCCGTCATCCACTCAGGGGGCTGAGTTTGATTGATGCTGATTGGCTGTGGCTCTGCCGTCATCCACTCAGAGGGCTGAGTTTGATTGATGCTGATTGGCTGTGGCTCTGCCGTCATCCACTCAGAGGGCTGAGTTTGATTGATGCTGATTGGCTGTGGCTCTGCCGTCATCATTATTATTACATTTTGGTACTGGCAAAAAGGAGGTCTAATGATGATGTAGATGCTCACCCCGAGCCCTCATTACTTTGCTAGCGGCATTGTCTTTGAGCTGTGTGATGCCTTTTGGTGTCACGTGGTCGAGCACCAATTGGGTCGAGGCTCTAAAGAAATCCGTCCCTTGGTTGTGGACCAATCAGTTTCGAGGACAATGCCACCATCATATTATCATAGTATGTGTTTTCGTTTGCATTTTGACTGCAGGTATTGTGGTTAATGCAGTAAACATGAATCCTTGTCAAAAAGGTTTCAGTTTTGTTGCCAGAAAAAAGGTGCTAACCCCTATTATTATTATTACATTTTGGTACTGGCAAAAGGAGGTCTAGTGATGCGGTTTGAAATAGTTGAGTTCCACCGCTGCTGCTGCTGCTGCTGCTCATGTTGTTGTTTGTTGTTGTTTATCCGTGAGTGCAGCGTCAGAGCGCGATGCCAGGGAGAGTCTGCACGTCACCTACGACCTGACGGGCGGAGTCGCTTCCCTCGTACAGCGGCTGCAGCAGGGATCCGAGCCGGAGGCGACGCCGCCGCCGCTGCTGCTGCTGCAGGTTGACGCACGCGGAGTGGCTGTTGCTGCTGCTGCTCCTGCTGCTGCTGCTGCTGCTGCTGCTACTGCAGGTTGACGCATGCGGAGTGGCTGTGCTGCTGCTGCTGCTGCTGCAGGTTGACGCACGCGGAGTGTCTCTGTTGCTGTTGCTGCTGCAGGTTGACGCATGCGGAGTGCCTCTGTTGCCGCTGCTGCTGCTGCAGGTTGACGCACGCGGAGTGCCTCTGTTGCTGCTGCTGCTGCTGCAGGTTGACGCACGCGGAGTGCCTCTGTTGCTGCTGCTGCAGGTTGACACGCGGAGTGCCTCTGTTGCTGCTGCTGCAGGTTGACACGCGGAGTGCCTCTGTTGTTGCTGCTGCAGGTTGACACGCGGAGTGCCTCTGTTGCTGCTGCTGCAGGTTGACACGCGGAGTGCCTCTGTTGTTGCTGCTGCTGCTGCAGGTTGACGCATGCGGAGCGCCTCTGTTGCTGCTGCTGCTGCAGGTTGACGCACGCGGAGTGCCTCTGTTGCTGCTGCTGCTGCTCCTGTTGCTGCTGCTGCAGGTTGACGCACGTGGAGTGCCTGTGCTGCTGCTGCTGCTCCTGCTGAATGTTGACGCACGCGGAGTGTCTGTGCTGCTGCTGCTGCAGGTTGACGCATGCGGAGTGCCTCTGTTGCTGCTGCTGCAGGTTGACGCATGCGGAGTGTCTGTGCTGCTGCTGCTGCAGGTTGACGCATGCGGAGTGGCTGTGCTGCTGCTGCTGCTGCTGCTCCTGCTGCCGCTGCTGCTGCAGGTTGATGCACGCGGAGTGCCTCTGTTGCTGCTGCTGCAGGTTGACACGCGGAGTGCCTCTGTTGCTGCTGCTGCAGGTTGACGCACGCGGATTGTCTGTGCTGCTGCTGCTCCTGCTGCCGCTGCTGCTGCTGCAGGTTGACGCACGTGGAGTGCCTGTGCTGCCGCTGCTGCTGCTCCTGCTGCCGCTGCTGCTGCTGCTGCTGCTGCAGGTTGACGCATGCGGCGTGTCTGTGCTGCTGCTGCGCACGTGCAGCTTGCAATTGACTACCCTGTACACACACGCTTGCTATAGACTACCCTGTACACACACACTGGCTATAGACTACCCTGTACACACACACTGGCTATAGACTACCCTGTACACACACACTGGCTATAGACTACCCTGTACACACACACTGGCTATAGACTACCCTGTACACACACACACTGGCTATAGACTACCCTGTACACACACACACACACTGGCTATAGACTACCCTGTACACACACACTGGCTATAGACTACCCTGTACACACACGCTGGCTATAGACTACCCTGTACACACACACACGCTGGCTATAGACTACCCTGTACACACATACACACGCTGGCTATAGACTACCCTGTACACACACACACACACGCGCTGTACACATGCACCTTGCTATAGACTGTGTTATCTGTGTTTGTGTATATGCTGTCTGTGTGCGGTCTGTACTTGTGTTGTCTGTATGTGTCCTGTCCGTACATGTGTGTTATCTGTATGTGTGCTGTGTGTATACGTGCTGTGTGTGCGTGTGCTGTCTTAAGTGTGTGCTGTGTGTCTGTGTGGTCTGTATGTGTGCCGTCTGTCTGTGTGTCTGTGTGCTGTGTGTGTGTGTGTGTGGTCTGTGTGTGCTGTCTGTCTGTGTGTCTGTGTGCTGTGTGTTGTCTGTCTGTGTGCTGTCTGTCTGTGTGTCTGTGTGCTGTGTGTCTGTGTGGTCTGTATGTGTGTTGTCTGTCTGTGTGTCTGTGTGCTGTGTGTGTGTGTGTGTGGTCTGTATGTTTGTTGTATGTCTGTGTGTCTGTGTACTGTGTGTTGCGTGTGTGTGCGGTCTGTACTTGTGTTGTCTGTATGTGTGCTGTGTGTATACGTGCTGTGTGTGCGTGTGCTGTCTTAAGTGTGTGCTGTGTGTGTGGTCTGTATGTGTGCTGTGTGTTGTCTGTCTGTGTGTCTGTGTACTGTGTGTTGCGTATGTGTGCGGTCTGTACTTGTGTTGTCTGTATGTGTCCTGTCTGTACATGTGTGTTATCTGTATGTGTGCTGTGTGTCTGTGTGCTGTGTGTTGTGTGTGTGTGCGGTCTTTGTGTGTGTTGTCTGTTTGTGTGTCTGTGTACTGTGTGTTGTCTGTATGTGTGTTGTCTGTGTGTGTTGTCTGTGTGTGTGTTGTCTGTCTGTGTGTCTGTGTACTGTGTGTTGTTTGTATGTGTGTCTGTGTGCTGTTTGTTGTGTGTGTGGTCTGTGTGTGTGTTGTCTGTCTGTGTACTGTGTGTTGCGTGTGTGTGCGGTCTGTGTGTGTGCGGTCTGTGTGTGTGTGTTGTCTGTGTGTGTGTTGTCTGTGTGTGTGTTATCTGTGTGTGTGTTGTCTGTGTGTGTGTTGTCTGTATGTGTGTTGTCTGTATGTGTGTCTGTGTGCTGTTTGTTGTGTGGGTGGTCTGTGTGTGTGTTGTCTGTCTGTGTGTCTGTGTACTGTGTGTTGCGTGTGTGTGTGCGGTCTGTGTGTGTGTTGTCTGTGTGTGTGTGTTGTCTGTTTGTGTGTCTGTGTACTGTGTGTTGTCTGTATGTGTGTTGTCTGTGTGTGTGTTGTCTGTGTGTCTGTGTTGTCTGTCTGTGTGTCTGTGTACTGTGTGTTGTCTGTGTGTGTGTTGTCTGTGTGTGTGTTGTCTGTGTGTGTGTTGTCTGTGTGTGCCTTTGTCGCCATCCTCAGGCCCTGAAGCTGCTGCAGTCGGTCACGTACGACGCTCGCATCTCGTACCCCAGCCCCAGCGTCGAGTGCCTCCTCCTCTTCCTGGCGCAGCAGATGTGAGCCTCTCTTGACGTTCTCTCCACCACCACCGCCACCACCACCACCACCATCATCACCGCCACCACCACCACCGCCATCACCATCACCACCACCACCATCACCGCCATCACCATCATCACCATCACCACCACCACCACCGCCGCCACCACCACCACCATCACCGCCATCACCATCACCGCCATCACCACCACCACCGCCGCCACCACCACCACCACCGCCACCACCACCACCGCCGCCACCATCGCCACCGCCACCACCACCACCATCACCGCCGCCACCATCGCCACCACCACCACCACCGCCACCACCGCCACCACCATCACCACCATCACCACCATCACCATCACCGCCACCACCATCACCACCACCACCATCATCACCACCACCATCACCGCCATCACCATCACCGCCACCACCATCACCGCCATCACCATCACCGCCATCACCACCATCACCACCATCACCGCCACCACCACCATCACCACTATCACCGCCATCACCACCATCACCACCATCACCACCATCACCACCGCCGCCGCGGTGACACCGGCGCTCCCTGCGCCTTGTAAACGCGACCGCACTCAACGTGACGATTATCTGAACCGGTCCCCTGGGCCTCCGCTGCGTAGTGAACGTCGCCACTGGGGGAGACAAAGGCGGCCGGGCGTGGTGCTGGCCGTCCACCCCCCTCGTGTGCTGCAGACAATGCCGGCCTTCGTAGGTGCTGCCCGCCGACAGCACTTGCCCCGACAGTCTGTTGAAGGCTATACTGGGGATCTTTGTCTTTGTGTGCGGAGAAGCCAGGCGCCTGAGAGCGAGCTCACCCTGCCCTGCCTGGGCACCATGGCCAACCTCTGTCGGCACAACACCTCCGTGCAGAGCTACGTCAAGGCCATGGTGAGCCACTTCTCGCGTCAGTCACTCAACCAGGCAGTCACTCAACCAGGCAGTCACTCAACCAGGCAGTCACTCAACCAGTCAGTCACTCATCCAGGGAGTCAGTCACTCAACCAGTCAGTCACTCAACCAGTCAGTCACTCAACCAGTCAGTCACTCAACCAGGCAGTCACTCAACCAGTCAGTCACTCAACCAGGCAGTCACTCAACCAGTCAGTCACTCAACCAGTCAGTCACTCAACCAGTCAGTCACTCAACCAGTCAGTCACTCAACCAGGCAGTCACTCAACCGGTCAGTCACTCAACCAGGGAGTCAGTCACTCAACCAGTCAGTCACTCAACCAGGCAGTCACTCAACCAGGCAGTCACTCAACCGGGCAGTCACTCAACCAGGCAGTCACTCAACCAGGCAGTAACTCAACCAGTCAGTCACTCAACCAGGCAGTCACTCAACCAGGCAGTCACTCAACCAGGCAGTCACTCAACCAGTCAGTCACTCAACCAGTCAGTCACTCAACCAGTCAGTCACTCAACCAGGCAGTCACTCAACCAGGCAGTCACTCAACCGGGCAGTCACTCAACCAGGCAGTCACTCAACCAGGCAGTAACTCAACCAGTCAGTCACTCAACCAGGCAGTCACTCAACCAGGCAGTCACTCAACCAGGCAGTCACTCAACCAGTCAGTCACTCAACCAGTCAGTCACTCAACCAGTCAGTCACTCAACCAGGCAGTCACTCAACCAGGCAGTCACTCAACCGGGCAGTCACTCAACCAGGCAGTCACTCAACCAGTCAGTCACTCAACCAGTCAGTCACTCAACCGGGCAGTCACTCAACCAGGCAGTCACTCAACCAGTCAGTCACTCAACCAGGCAGTCACTCAACCAGGCAGTCACTCAACCAGGCAGTCACTCAACCAGTCAGTCACTCAACCAGTCAGTCACTCAACCAGTCAGTCACTCAACCAGGCAGTCACTCAACCAGGCAGTCACTCAACCGGGCAGTCACTCAACCGGTCAGTCACTCAACCAGGCAGTCACTCAACCGGGCAGTCACTCAACCGGGCAGTCACTCATCCGGGCAGTCACTCAACCGGGCAGTCACTCAACCGGGCAGTCACTCAACCAGTCAGTCACTCAACCAGGCAGTCACTCAACCAGTCAGTCACTCAACCAGTCAGTCACTCAACCGGGCAGTCACTCAACCGGGCAGTCACTCAACCGGGCAGTCACTCAACCAGTCAGTCACTCAACCAGTCAGTCAGTCAACCAGTCAGTCACTCAAGCAGTCAGTCACTCAACCAGTCAGTCACTCAACCAGGCAGTCACGCAACCAGTCAATCACTCAACTAGTCAGTCACTCAACCAGTCAGTCACTCAACTAGTCAGTCACTCAACCAGTCAGTAACTCAACCAGTCAGTCACTCAACCAGGCAGTCACTCAACCAGGCAGTCACTCAACCAGGCAGTCACTCAACCAGGCAGTCACTCAATCAGTCAGTCACTCAACCAGGCTGTCACTCAACCAGTCAGTCACTCAACCAGGCAGTCACTCAACCAGTCAGTCACTCAACCAGTCAGTAACTCAACCAGTCAGTCACTCAACCAGGCAGTCACTCAACCAGGCAGTCACTCAACCAGGCAGTCACTCAATCAGTCAGTCACTCAACCAGGCAGTCACTCAACCAGGCAGTCACTCAACCAGGCAGTCACTCAACCAGTCAGTCACTCAATCAGTCAGTCACTCAACCAGTCAGTCACTCAACCAGTCAGTCACTCAACCAGGCAGTCACTCAACCAGGCAGTAACTCAACCAGTCAGTCACTCAATCAGTCAGTCACTCAACCAGTCAGTCACTCAACCAGGCAGTCACTCAACCAGTCAGTCACTCAACCAGGGAGTCAGTCACTCAATCAGTCAGTCACTCAACCAGGCAGTCACTCAACCAGTCAGTCACTCAATCAGTCAGTCACTCAACCAGTCAGTCACTCAATCAGTCAGTCACTCAACCGGGCAGTCACTCAACCAGTCAGTCACTCAACCAGGCAGTCACTCAACCAGGCAGTAACTCAACCAGTCAGTCACTCAACCAGGCAGTCACGCAACCAGTCAATCACTCAACTAGTCAGTCACTCAACCAGTCAGTCACTCAACTAGTCAGTCACTCAACCAGTCAGTAACTCAACCAGTCAGTCACTCAACCAGGCAGTCACTCAACCAGGCAGTCACTCAACCAGGCAGTCACTCAATCAGTCAGTCACTCAACCAGGCAGTCACTCAACCAGGCAGTCACTCAACCAGGCAGTCACTCAACCAGTCAGTCACTCAACCAGTCAGTCACTCAACCAGTCAGTCACTCAACCAGTCAGTCACTCAACCAGGCAGTCACTCAACCAGGCAGTCACTCAACCAGTCAGTCACTCAACCAGGCAGTCACTCAACCAGGCAGTCACTCAACCAGTCAGTCACTCAACCAGTCAGTCACTCAACCAGGCAGTCACTCAACCAGTCAGTCACTCAACCAGTCAGTCACTCAACCGGGCAGTCACTCAACCGGTCAGTCACTCAACCGGTCAGTCACTCAACCAGTCAGTCACTCAACCAGGCAGTCACTCAACCAGTCAGTCACTCAACCAGTCAGTCACTCAACCGGGCAGTCACTCAACCAGGCAGTCACTCAACCAGTCAGTCACTCAACCAGGCAGTCACTCAACCAGGCAGTCACTCAACCGGGCAGTCACTCAACCAGGCAGTCACTCAAGCAGTCAGTCACTCAAGCAGTCAGTCACTCAACCGGTCAGTCACTCAACCAGTCAGTCACTCAACCAGTCAGTCACTCAACCAGTCAGTCACTCAACTAGTCAGTCACTCAACCAGTCAGTAACTCAACCAGTCAGTCACTCAACCAGGCAGTCACTCAACCAGGCAGTCACTCAACCAGGCAGTCACTCAATCAGTCAGTCACTCAACCAGGCTGTCACTCAACCAGGCAGTCACTCAACCAGGCAGTCACTCAACCAGTCAGTCACTCAACCAGTCAGTCACTCAACCAGTCAGTCACTCAACCAGGCAGTCACTCAACCAGTCAGTCACTCAACCAGGCAGTCACTCAACCAGGCAGTCACTCAACCAGGCAGTCACTCAACCAGTCAGTCACTCAACCAGTCAGTCACTCAACCAGTCAGTCACTCAACCAGTCAGTCACTCAACCAGTCAGTCACTCAACCAGTCAGTCACTCAACCAGGCAGTCACTCAACCAGGCAGTCACTCAACCAGTCAGTCACTCAACCAGGCAGTCACTCAACCAGGCAGTCACTCAACCAGGCAGTCACTCAACCAGTCAGTCACTCAACCGGGCAGTCACTCAACCGGTCAGTCACTCAACCGGTCAGTCACTCAACCGGTCAGTCACTCAACCGGTCAGTCACTCAACCAGGCAGTCACTCAACCAGTCAGTCACTCAACCAGGCAGTCACTCAACCAGTCAGTCACTCAATCAGTCAGTCACTCAACCAGTCAGTCACTCAATCAGTCAGTCACTCAACCAGGCAGTCACTCAACCAGTCAGTCACTCAACCAGTCAGTCACTCAACCAGGCAGTCACTCAACCAGGCAGTAACTCAACCAGTCAGTCACTCAACCAGGCAGTCACGCAACCAGTCAATCACTCAACTAGTCAGTCACTCAACCAGTCAGTCACTCAACTAGTCAGTCACTCAACCAGTCAGTAACTCAACCAGTCAGTCACTCAACCAGGCAGTCACTCAACCAGGCAGTCACTCAACCAGGCAGTCACTCAATCAGTCAGTCACTCAACCAGGCTGTCACTCAACCAGGCAGTCACTCAACCAGGCAGTCACTCAACCAGGCAGTCACTCAACCAGTCAGTCACTCAACCAGTCAGTCACTCAACCAGTCAGTCACTCAACCAGTCAGTCACTCAACCAGGCAGTCACTCAACCAGTCAGTCACTCAACCAGTCAGTCACTCAACCGGGCAGTCACTCAACCAGTCAGTCACTCAACCAGTCAGTCACTCAACCAGTCAGTCACTCAACCAGTCAGTCACTCAACCAGTCAGTCACTCAACCGGGCAGTCACTCAACCAGTCAGTCACTCAACCAGGCAGTCACTCAACCAGTCAGTCACTCAACCAGGCAGTCACTCAACCAGTCAGTCACTCAACCGGGCAGTCACTCAACCAGTCAGTCACTCAACCAGGCAGTCACTCAACCAGTCAGTCACTCAACCAGGCAGTCACTCAACCAGTCAGTCACTCAACCAGTCAGTCACTCAACCAGTCAGTCACTCAAGCAGTCAGTCACTCAAGCAGTCAGTCACTCAACCAGTCAGTCACTCAACCAGTCAGTCACTCAACCAGTCAGTCACTCAACCGGGCAGTCACTCAACCAGTCAGTCACTCAACCAGTCAGTCACTCAACCGGGCAGTCACTCAACCAGGCAGTCACTCACACAGTTGCCTCACCCTGGTGGTGGTGATGATGGTGACGATCGTGATGGTGACGATGGTGGTGGTGACGATGGTGACGATGTTGACGATGTTGACGGTGATGTTGTGTAGAGTCACGTGAAGGGTCTCTACCGTGCCCTCATTGTGTCGCTGGCTCACAGCAGCCTCACCGTCGTGGTGACGATGCTGGTGACGATCGTGATGGTGACGATGGTGGTGACCATCGTGGTGGTGACGATGGTGGTGACGATGGTGATGGTGACGATGTTGACGATGTTGATGGTGATGTTATTGACGGTGATGTTGTGTGTAGAGTCACGTGAAGGGTCTCTACCGTGCCCTCATCGTGTCGCTGGCTCACAGCAGCCTCACTGTGGTGGTGATGATGGTGATCGTGATGATGACGATGGTGATGGTGACGATGGTGGTGGTGACGATGGTGACGATGTTGACGATGTTGACGGTGATGTTGTGTGTAGAGTCACGTGAAGGGTCTCTACCGTGCCCTCATTGTGTCGTTGGCTCACAGCAGCCTCACCGTGGTGGTGACGATGACGATGGTGACGGTGACGATGTTGATGGTGACGATGGTGATGGTGACGATCGTGATGGTGACGATGTTGATGGTGACGATGTTGATGGTGATGTTAATGACGGTGATGTTGTGTGTAGAGTCACGTGAAGGGTCTCTACCACACCCTCATTGTGTCACTGGCTCACAGCAGCCTCACCGTCGTGGTGATGATGGTGACGATGGTGATGTTGACGATGTTGATGGTGATGTTAATGACGATGGTGATGTTGTGTAGAGTCACGTGAAGGGTCTCTACCACACCCTCATTGTGTCGCTGGCTCACAGCAGCCTCACCGTCGTGGTGACGATGGTGGTGACGATGGTGATGGTGACGATGTTGACGATGTTGACGGTGATGTTGTGTAGAGTCACGTGAAGGGTCTCTACCGTGCCCTCATCGTGTCGCTGGCTCACAGCAGCCTCACCGTGGTGGTGACGATGGTGGTGACGATCGTGGTGGTGACGATGTTGATGGTGACGATGTTAATGACGGTGATGTTGTGTGTAGAGTCACGTGAAGGGTCTCTACCGTGCCCTCGTCGTGTCGCTGGCTCACAGCAGCCTCACCGTGGTGGTGACGATGACGATGTTGATGGTGACGATGGTGGTGACGATGTTGATGGTGACGATGTTGATGGTGATGTTAATGACGGTGATGTTGTGTGTAGAGTCACGTGAAGGGTCTCTACCACACCCTCATTGTGTCGCTGGCTCACAGCAGCCTCACCGTCGTGGTGATGATGGTGACGATGGTGATGTTGACGATGTTGATGTTGATGTTAATGACGGTGATGTTGTGTAGAGTCACGTGAAGGGTCTCTACCGTGCCCTCATCGTGTCGCTGGCTCACAGCAGCCTCACCGTCGTGGTGACGATGGTGGTGACGATGTTGATGATGACGATGACGATGTTGACGATGTTAATGACGATGGTGATGTTGTGTAGAGTCACGTGAAGGGTCTCTACCGTGCCCTCATCGTGTCCCTGGCTCACAGCAGCCTCACCGTGGTGGTGACGATGGTGGTGACGATGTTGATGTTAATGACGATGGTGATGTTGTGTAGAGTCACGTGAAGGGTCTCTACCGTGCCCTCATCGTGTCGCTGGCTCACAGCAGCCTCACCGTGGTGGTGACGATGGTGGTGACGATCGTGATGATGACGATGGTGGTGACGATGGTGGTGACGATGTTAATGTTGATGTTAATGATGGTGATGTTGTGTAGAGTCACGTGAAGGGTCTCTACCGTGCCCTCGTCCTGTCCCTGGCTCACAGCAGCCTCACCGTGGTGGTGACGATGGTGGTGACGATGTTGACGATGTTGACGATGTTGATGTTAATGACGATGGTGATGTTGTGTAGAGTCACGTGAAGGGTCTCTACCGTGCCCTCGTCATGTCCCTGGCCCACAGCAGCCTCACCGTGGTGGTGACGATGTTGACGATGTTGATGGTGACGATGGTGGTGACGATGGTGGTGGTGATGTTAATGACGATGGTGATGTTGTGTAGAGTCACGTGAAGGGTCTCTACCGTGCCCTCATCGTGTCCCTGGCCCACAGCAGCCTCACCGTCGTGGTGACGATGTTGATGGTGACGATGGTGATGGTGACGATGTTGATGGTGATGTTGTGTAGAGTCACGTGAAGGGTCTCTACCGTGCCCTCATCGTGTCCCTGGCCCACAGCAGCCTCACCGTCGTGGTGACGATGTTGATGGTGACGATGGTGGTGTTGACGATGTTGATGGTGATGTTGTGTAGAGTCACGTGAAGGGTCTCTACCGTGCCCTCATCGTGTCGCTGGCCCACAGCAGCCTCACCGTGGTGGTGACGATGGTGGTGACGATCGTGATGGTGGTGACGATGGTGGTGACGATGTTGACGATGGTGATGGTGATGTTGTGTAGAGTCACGTGAAGGGTCTCTACCGTGCCCTCGTCGTGTCGCTGGCTCACAGCAGCCTCACCGTGGTGGTGACGATGGTGATGGTGATGTTAATGGTGATGTTAATGACGATGGTGATGTTGTGTAGAGTCACGTGAAGGGTCTCTACCGTGCCCTCGTCGTGTCGCTGGCTCACAGCAGCCTCACCGTGGTGGTGACGATGGTGGTGACGATGTTGATGGTGGTGTTGTGTAGAGTCACGTGAAGGGTCTCTACCGTGCCCTCATCGTGTCCCTGGCCCACAGCAGCCTCACCGTGGTGGTGACGATGTTGATGGTGACGATGTTGACGATGTTGATGGTGATGTTAATGACGACGGTGATGTTGTGTAGAGTCACGTGAAGGGTCTCTACCGTGCCCTCATCGTGTCGCTGGCTCACAGCAGCCTCACCGTGGTGGTGACGATGGTGATGGTGACGATGGTGACGATGTTGATGGTGATGTTAATGTTGGTGGTGTTGTGTAGAGTCACGTGAAGGGTCTCTACCGTGCCCTCATCGTGTCCCTGGCTCACAGCAGCCTCACCGTGGTGGTGACGATGGTGATGGTGACGATGTTGACGATGTTGATGGTGATGTTAATGACGACGGTGATGTTGTGTAGAGTCACGTGAAGGGTCTCTACCGTGCCCTCATCGTGTCGCTGGCTCACAGCAGCCTCACCGTGGTGGTGACGATGGTGATGGTGACGATGGTGACGATGTTGATGGTGATGTTAATGTTGGTGGTGTTGTGTAGAGTCACGTGAAGGGTCTCTACCGTGCCCTCATCGTGTCCCTGGCTCACAGCAGCCTCACCGTGGTGGTGACGATGGTGATGGTGACGATGTTGACGATGTTGACGATGTTGACGATGTTGACGATGTTAATGACGATGGTGATGTTGTGTAGAGTCACGTGAAGGGTCTCTACCGTGCCCTCATCGTGTCCCTGGCCCACAGCAGCCTCACCGTGATGGTGACGATCGTGATGGTGACGATGGTGGTGACGATGTTGATGGTGATGTTAATGACGGTGGTGATGTTGTGTAGAGTCACGTGAAGGGTCTCTACCGTGCCCTCATCGTGTCCCTGGCCCACAGCAGCCTCACCGTCGTCGTCTTCTCCCTCTCCATCCTCGCCGCCCTCACGCTGCACGACGACGTCGGAAATCGGGTGACCGCACGGACGACACACGGGGTGACACACGGGGTGACACACGGGGTGACACGGGGGTGATGAGGGGTGACACACGGGGGTGACACACGGGGGTGACGAGGGGTGACACACGGGGGTGACACACGGGGGTGACACAGGGGGGTGACACACGGGGGTGACACACGGGGGTGACGAGCGGTGTCCCCCTAGGACCGGACCAAACGGACCACCGGGGAATTTTCGTGCAAGGCGACGCCACAACACGGACAAAGAATCCGATGCGGGAATCGCGTGCGTGTGAGGGTAAACGCTCAATCCCCCCCCGCGTGTGTGTCAAACCCACCCCCGCACCCAGCTGTTCCACGCCAAGAACATCAACCAGACGTTCCAGCTGATCTTCAACATCCTGGTGAACGGGGACGGGACGCTCACCCGCACGTTCAGCGTCGACCTCTGCGTGGACCTCCTGCACTGCGACCGGGTCGCGCAGCACCTGTGCAGGTGAGCGGGCGCTCGCCCGCCCGCCCGCCCGCCCGCCTATTCACTCCCTCGCTCACCTAGTCAGTCGCTCGTTTGCCCGCCTGTTCACCTGCTCGCTCACCTAATCACTCGCCCGCCCGCCCGCCTATTCACTCGCTCGCCTGTTCACTCGCTCACTCGCCCACCTTTTCGCTCGATCGTCCGCCTGTTCGCTCGCTATTCACTCGCTCGCTCATCTATAAACTCGCTCGCTCGCTCATCTATAAACTCGCTCGCTCGGTCATCTATAAACTCGCTCGCTCGCTCATCTATAAACTCGCTCGCTCGCTCATCTATAAACTCGCTCGCTCGCTCATCTATAAACTCGCTCGTTCGCTCATCTATAAACTCGCTCGCCCACCTGTTCGCTCACTCTCCTATTCACTCGCTATTGACTCACTCGCTCGCTCACCTATAATCTCGCTCGCTTGCTCACGTATTCGCTTGCTCACCCATGAATTCGCTCAACCACCTATTCGCTCGCTCGCTCACCCACCGGTTCGCTCGCTCGCTAACAGCACTTACCCCAACAGTCCGTTAAAAAGCTATCCTGGTGGTCTTTGTGTGTGTGTGTAGGTACGAGCACTTTGACTCGTGTCTGCAGCAGATCCTGGGACTTCTGCAAGACAGTTCAGTCGAGAGCATTGCTAAGGTATGGACCCATCACACAACATCGCACACCCTCATAGATGGCATCATAGTCACACCATCATCGTCACACCATCACCGTCACACCATCACAGAGACCATCATCGTCACACGATCAATGCCGTCAGGACAGCTCAGCAGAGGAGGAATGCTAAGTCACGGACCCATCACACAACATCGCACACCCTCATAGATGGCATCATAGTCACACCATCATCGTCACACCATCACCGTCACACCATCACAGAGACCATCATCGTCACACGATCAATGCCGTCAGGACAGCTCAGCAGAGGAGGAATGCTAAGTCATGGACCCATCACACAACATCGCACACCCTCATAGATGGCATCATAGTCACACCATCATCGTCACACCATCATCGTCACACCATCACAGAGACCATCATCGTCACGCCATCAACGCCGTCAGGACAGCTCAGCAGAGGAGGAATGCTACGGCATGGACCCATCACACAGCATCGCACACCCTCATAGATGGCATCATAGTCACACCATCATCGTCACACCATCACCACCATCACAGAGACCATCATCGTCACACCATCACCACCATCACAGAGACCATCATCGTCACACCATCACCACCATCATCGTCACGCCATCAACGCCGTCAGGACAGCTCAGCAGAGAGGATTGCTACGGCATGGACCCATCACACAACATCGCACACCCTCATAGATGGCATCATAGTCACACCATCATCGTCACACCATCACCACCATCACAGAGACCATCATCGTCACACCATCATCGTCACACCATCATCGTCACACCATCATCGTCACACCATTACAGAGACCATCATCGTCACACCATCATCGTCACACCATCACAGAGACCATCACCGTCACGCCATCAACGCCGTCAGGACAGCTCAGCAGAGGAGGAATGCTACGGCATGGACCCATCACACAGCATCGCACACCCTCATAGATGGCATCATAGTCACACCATCATCGTCACACCATCACCACCATCACAGAGACCATCATCGTCACACCATCACCACCATCACAGAGACCATCATCGTCACACCATCACCACCATCATTGTCACGCCATCAACGCCGTCAGGACAGCTCAGCAGAGGGAGGAATGCTACGGCATGGACCCATCACACAACATCGCACACCCTCATAGATACCATCTTTGTCCCAACATCACACCATCACAGATTCCATCATCGTCATGCCAACCCTGACGCTTTGTGTGTTTGGGGTTTGCGTGTCTCTCTCACCGTGGTTGCGTGGATTTCTTTCCTCCGGGTCCTCTGCTTTTTCCCTCCACATTTAGAAAAAAAACGATAAGCCACCTTTGCTGAGATATCATTCGTGATGGCCAGGTCGCTTGTGAAACAAAATTAATGAACACCTCGCTGGGCTCTGCTTGGTAGGATGGCCGATGGTTTCGTGATGTGTTTGTATGCTGTGTGGGTGATTTTCTTACACTTTATTTTACCTTGCACGTCCGTCGTGTTTGTGTACTGTTTGTTGTTGTTGTTGTAACGCTCTCTCACACCCCCCCGTGCCCCATCTGGGCGTCTGTGAAAAAGAGCTTTGAAGCTCATCGGATTGCTCCGGGATAAATGTTCTGAGCCACACCATCAAGACGCCGCAGCAAAGGACGTTGCCAAGTGCCGTGCCCCGTGCCAAGTGCCGTGTGCTGTGCCAAGTGCCGTACCCTGTGCCAAGTGCCGTACCCCGTGCCAAGTGCCGTACCCTGTGCCAAGTGCCAAGTGCTGTACCCTGTGCCAAGTGCCAAGTGCCGTACCCTGTGCCAAGTGCCGTACCCTGTGCCAAGTGCCGTACCCCGTGCCAGGTGCCGTACCCTGTGCCAAGTGCCGTACCCTGTGCCGTGTGCTGTGCCAAGTGCCGTACCCCGTGCCAAGTGCCCTGGGCCAAGTGCCGTGTGCTGTGCCAAGTGCTGTACCCTGTGCCAAGTGCCGTGTGCTGTGCCAAGTGCCGTACCCTGTGCCAAGTGCCGTACCCTGTGCCAAGTGCCGTACCCTGTGCCAAGTGCCCTGTGCCAAGTGCCGTACCCTGTGCCAAGTGCCGTACCCTGTGCCAAGTGCCGTGCCCTGTGCCAAGTGACGTACCCTGTGCCAAGTGCCCTGTGCCAAGTGCCGTACCCTGTGCCAAGTGACGTACCCTGTGCCAAGTGCCCTGTGCCAAGTGCCGTACCCTGTGCCAAGTGACGTACCCTGTGCCAAGTGCCCTGTGCCAAGTGCCGTACCCTGTGCCAAGTGACGTACCCTGTGCCAAGTGCCCTGTGCCAAGTGCCGTACCCTGTGCCAAGTGCCGTACCCTGTGCCAAGTGCCGTACCCTGTGCCAAGTGACGTACCCTGTGCCAAGTGCCCTGTGCCAAGTGCCGTACCCCGTGCCAAGTGCCCTGGGCCAAGTGCCGTGTGCTGTGCCAAGTGCCGTACCCTGTGCCAAGTGCCGTGTGCTGTGCCAAGTGCCGTACCCTGTGCCAAGTGCTGTGCCAAGTGCCGTACCCTGTGCCAAGTGCCCTGTGCCAAGTGCCGTACCCTGTGCCAAGTGCCGTACCCTGTGCCAAGTGCCGTGCCCTGTGCCAAGTGACGTACCCTGTGCCAAGTGCCCTGTGCCAAGTGCCGTACCCTGTGCCAAGTGACGTACCCTGTGCCAAGTGCCCTGTGCCAAGTGCCGTACCCTGTGCCAAGTGACGTACCCTGTGCCAAGTGCCCTGTGCCAAGTGCCGTACCCTGTGCCAAGTGACGTACCCTGTGCCAAGTGCCCTGTGCCAAGTGCCGTACCCTGTGCCAAGTGCCGTGCCCTGTGCCAAGTGACGTACCCTGTGCCAAGTGCCCTGTGCCAAGTGCCGTACCCTGTGCCAAGTGACGTACCCTGTGCCAAGTGACGTACCCTGTGCCAAGTGCCGTACCCTGTGCCAAGTGACGTACCCTGTGCCAAGTGCCCTGTGCCAAGTGCCGTACCCTGTGCCAAGTGACGTACCCTGTGCCAAGTGCCCTGTGCCAAGTGCCGTACCCTGTGCCAAGTGCCGTGCCCTGTGCCAAGTGACGTACCCTGTGCCAAGTGCCCTGTGCCAAGTGCCGTACCCTGTGCCAAGTGACGTACCCTGTGCCAAGTGACGTACCCTGTGCCAAGTGCCGTACCCTGTGCCAAGTGACGTACCCTGTGCCAAGTGCCCTGTGCCAAGTGCCGTACCCTGTGCCAAGTGACGTACCCTGTGCCAAGTGACGTACCCTGTGCCAAGTGCCGTACCCTGTGCCAAGTGCCGTACCCTGTGCCAAGTGCCCTGTGCCAAGTGCCGTACCCTGTGCCAAGTGCCGTACCCTGTGCCAAGTGCCCTGTGCCAAGTGCCGTACCCTGTGCCAAGTGCCGTACCCTGTGCCAAGTGCCGTACCCTGTGCCAAGTGACGTACCCTGTGCCAAGTGACGTACCCTGTGCCAAGTGCCGTACCCTGTGCCAAGTGCCGTACCCTGTGCCAAGTGCCCTGTGCCAAGTGCCGTACCCTGTGCCAAGTGCCGTACCCTGTGCCAAGTGCCCTGTGCCAAGTGCCGTACCCTGTGCCAAGTGCCGTACCCTGTGCCAAGTGCCGTACCCTGTGCCAAGTGCCGTACCCTGTGCCAAGTGACGTACCCTGTGCCAAGTGACGTACCCTGTGCCAAGTGCCGTACCCTGTGCCAAGTGCCGTACCCTGTGCCAAGTGCCCTGTGCCAAGTGCCGTACCCTGTGCCAAGTGCCGTACCCTGTGCCAAGTGCCCTGTGCCAAGTGCCGTACCCTGTGCCAAGTGCCGTACCCTGTGCCAAGTGCCGTACCCTGTGCTGCCGTGTTAATTCCCCCTCCCCCCCCCGCGCTTCTCCGCCGACGCCGCCGCCGCCGCAGCTGCTGGAGCTGCTGCTGGCCCTCTGCTCCGTGCCGCGCCTCCGCTCCTCCGTCAGCCGCGCCACGCTCGCCTCGCCGGCGGCCCCCTCCGCGGCCGCGGCACGGGCCCGGAGGGCCGGCGACGGCGGGACCGCCCGCCGGACGCGGAGGACCCAAGCCCCCGCCGTGCCGCCGCCGGGGCCGCCGGGGCCGCCGGCGGCCCTGGCGACGCTCGTTCGCTGCGCCGGGCGACCGGCGTCCGCCTCCGACGGGGTCGCCCTCCTCTCCCTGCGGCTCCTGCTGGACGTGTACGAGGTAGCGACGGGCGGCAGCCTTGGCGGAAAGAGTTTGCCGGCGATGTCGGCGCTTCCTGCCGTTGTGAGGCGGGATTCGCCCCCGAGCGTTGGGTATTGTTCGCCCGCCGATGAGGGAGAGCGGGCCGGGTTTATTTAGACCGTCGTGAGACCGGCGGTTAAGTTTCAACCTGTGCTGATGCTGCGTCGGCGCGCAAACGGCGGCCCTGCTCGGGTACGAGGGGAGCCGCAGGCTCGGACGGTGGCGACGCTACCGTCTGAGCGATTGTGACCGAACCTCCCCCCGCGGGGCGCTTGCGATCGCCGCCGACGGACCCCCGTGCCGGAGAGGGGCCCCCCCCCCGGAGCCCCGTGCAAAAATTCCACGGCTAAAAAAATGGTCCCGCAGTTTGAGCAGGGAGGGAGTGGGGGGGGGGGGTTTGTTCCGTGAGCAGGGAGTGAGGGGGGTTTGTTCTGTGAGCAGTGAGGGGGGTTTGTTCTGTGAGTAGTGAGGGGGGTTTGTTCTGTGAACAGTGAGGGTGGTTTGTTCCGTGAACAGTGAGGGGGGTTTGTTCGTGAACAGTGAGGGAGGTTTGTTCTGTGAGCAGTGAGGGGGGTTTGTTCTGTGAACAGTGAGGGGGGTTTGTTCCGTGAACAGTGAGGGAGGGGTTTGTTCTGTGAGCAGTGAGGGGGGTTTGTTCCGTGAACAGTGAGGGAGGGGTTTGTTCTGTGAACAGTGAGGGGGGTTTGTTCCGTGAACAGTGAGGGAGGGAGGTTTGTTCTGTGAACAGTGAGTGAGGGGTTTGTTCCGTGAACAGTGAGGGGGGTTTGTTCTGTGAGCAGTGAGTGAGGGGTTTGTTCTGTGAACAGTGAGTGAGGGGTTTGTTCTGTGAACAGTGAGTGAGGGGTTTGTTCTGTGAACAGTGAGTGAGGGGTTTGTTCTGTGAACAGTGAGGGTTTGTTCCGTGAGCAGTGAGGGGGGTTTGTTTCGTGAACAGTGAGGGGGGTTTGTTTGTGAACAGTGAGGGGGGTTTGTTCTGTGAACAGTGAGTGAGGGGTTTGTTCTGTGAACAGGGAGGGGGGTTTGTTCCGTGAACAGTGAGGGGGGTTTGTTCCGTGAACAGTGAGTGGGGTTTGTTCTGTGAACAGTGAGGGGGGTTTGTTCCGTGAACAGTGAGTGGGGTTTGTTCTGTGAACAGTGAGGGGGGGTTTGTTCCGTGAACAGTGAGTGAGGGGTTTGTTCTGTGAACAGTGAGGGGGGTTTGTTCGTGAGCAGTGAGGGGGGTTTGTTCCGTGAACAGTGAGGGGGGTTTGTTCGTGAGCAGTGAGGGGGGTTTGTTCTGTGAACAGTTGAGGGGGGTTTGTTCCGTGAACAGTGAGGGTTTGTTCCGTGAACAGTGAGGGGGGTTTGTTCTGTGAGCAGTGAGGGGGGTTTGTTACGTGAACAGTGAGTGAGGGGTTTGTTCCGTGAACAGTGAGTGAGGGGTTTGTTCTGTGAACAGGGAGGGGGGTTTGTTCTGTGAACAGTGAGGGGGGTTTGTTCTGTGAACAGTGAGTGAGGGGTTTGTTCTGTGAACAGTGAGGGGGGTTTGTTCCGTGAACAGTGAGGGGGGTTTGTTCTGTGAACAGTGAGGGGGGTTTGTTCCGTGAACAGGGAGGGGGGTTTGTTCTGTGAGTAGTGAGGGGGGTTTGTTCTGTGAGCAGTGAGTGAGGGGTTTGTTCCGTGAACAGTGAGGGGGGTTTGTTCCGTGAACAGTGAGTGAGGGGTTTGTTCTGTGAACAGTGAGGGGGGTTTGTTCCGTGAACAGTGAGGGGGGTTTGTTCCGTGAGTAGTGAGGGGGGTTTGTTCCGTGAACAGTGAGTGAGGGGTTTGTTCTGTGAACAGTGAGGGGGGTTTGTTCCGTGAGTAGTGAGGGGGGTTTGTTCCGTGAACAGTGAGGGGGGTTTGTTCTGTGAACAGTGAGGGGGGTTTGTTCCGTGAGTAGTGAGGGGGGTTTGTTCCGTGAGTAGTGAGGGGGGTTTGTTCCGTGAGCAGTGAGGGGGGTTTGTTCCATGAACAAGGAGGGGGGTTTGTTCCGTGAACAGTGAGGGGGGTTTGTTCCGTGAACAGTGAGTGAGGGGTTTGTTCTGTGAGCAGGGAGGGGGGTTTGTTTCGTGAACAGTGAGTGAGGGGTTTGTTCGTGAACAGTGAGAGAGGTTTGTTCTGTGAACAGTGAGGGGGGTTTGTTCTGTGAGCAGGGAGGGGGGTTTGTTCCGTGAACAGTGAGGGGGGTTTGTTCTGTGAACAGGGAGGGGGGTTTGTTCCGTGAACAGTGAGTGAGGGGTTTGTTCGTGAACAGTGAGGGAGGTTTGTTCTGTGAACAGTGAGGGGGGTTTGTTCCATGAACAGTGAGGGGGGTTTGTTCTGTGAACAGTGAGTGAGGGGTTTGTTCTGTGAGCAGTGAGGGGGGTTTGTTCCGTGAACAGTGAGTGAGGGGTTTGTTCCGTGAACAGTGAGGGGGGTTTGTTCCGTGAACAGTGAGTGAGGGGTTTGTTCCGTGAACAGTGAGGGGGGTTTGTTCCGTGAACAGTGAGGGGGGTTTGTTCTGTGAACAGTGAGTGAGGGGTTTGTTCTGTGAACAGTGAGGGGGGTTTGTTCCGTGAACAGTGAGGGGGGTTTGTTCCGTGAACAGGCAGTGAGGGGGGTTTGTTCCGTGAACAGTGAGTGAGGGGTTTGTTCTGTGAACAGTGAGTGAGGGGTTTGTTCTGTGAGCAGGGAGGGGGGTTTGTTTCGTGAACAGTGAGTGAGGGGTTTGTTCGTGAACAGTGAGAGAGGTTTGTTCTGTGAACAGTGAGGGGTTTGTTCTGTGAACAGTGAGGGGGGTTTGTTCTGTGAGCAGGGAGGGGGGTTTGTTCCGTGAACAGTGAGGGGGGTTTGTTCTGTGAACAGTGAGTGAGGGGTTTGTTCTGTGAGCAGTGAGGGGGGTTTGTTCCGTGAACAGTGAGGGGGGTTTGTTCCGTGAGCAGTGAGTGAGGGGTTTGTTCTGTGAACAGTGAGGGGGGTTTGTTCTGTGAACAGTGAGGGGGGTTTGTTCCGTGAACAGTGAGTGAGGGGTTTGTTCCGTGAACAGTGAGGGGGGTTTGTTCCGTGAACAGTGAGGGGGGTTTGTTCCGTGAACAGTGAGGGGGGTTTGTTCCGTGAACAGTGAGGGGGGTTTGTTCCGTGAACAGTGAGGGGGGTTTGTTCTGTGAACAGTGAGTGAGGGGTTTGTTCTGTGAACAGTGAGGGGGGTTTGTTCTGTGAACAGTGAGGGGGGTTTGTTCTGTGAACAGTGAGTGAGGAGTTTGTTCTGTGAGCAGTGAGTGAGGGGTTTGTTCTGTGAACAGTGAGTGAGGGGTTTGTTCCGTGAACAGTGAGGGGGGTTTGTTCCGTGAACAGTGAGTGAGGGGTTTGTTCCGTGAACAGTGAGGGGGGTTTGTTCCATGAACAGTGAGTGGGGTTTGTTCTGTGAACAGTGAGGGGGGTTTGTTCCGTGAACAGTGAGGGGGGTTTGTTCCGTGAACAGTGAGTGAGGGGTTTGTTCTGTGAACAGTGAGGGGGGTTTGTTCCGTGAACAGTGAGTGAGGGGTTTGTTCCGTGAACAGTGAGTGAGGGGTTTGTTCCGTGAACAGTGAGGGGGGTTTGTTCCGTGAGCAGTGAGGGGGGTTTGTTCTGTGAACAGTGAGTGAGGGGTTTGTTCCGTGAACAGTGGGGGGGGGGTTTGTTCCGTGAACAGGGAGGGGGGTTTGTTCCGTGAACAGTGAGTGAGGGGTTTGTTCCGTGAACAGTGAGTGAGGGGTTTGTTCGTGAGCAGTGAGGGGGGTTTGTTCGTGAACAGTGAGTGAGGGGTTTGTTCCGTGAACAGTGAGTGAGGGGTTTGTTCCGTGAACAGTGAGGGGGGTTTGTTCCGTGAACAGTGAGTGAGGGGTTTGTTCCGTGAACAGTGAGTGAGGGGTTTGTTCCGTGAACATGTGAGGGGGGTTTGTTCCGTGAACAGTGAGTGAGGGGTTTGTTCCGTGAACAGTGAGTGAGGGGTTTGTTCCGTGAACAGTGAGGGGGGTTTGTTCCGTGAACAGTGAGTGAGGGGTTTGTTCCGTGAACAGTGTGTGAGGGGTTTGTTCCGTGAACAGTGAGTGAGGGGTTTGTTCCGTGAACAGTGAGTGAGGGGTTTGTTCTGTGAACAGTGAGGGGGGTTTGTTCCGTGAACAGTGAGTGAGGGGTTTGTTCCGTGAACAGTGAGTGAGGGGTTTGTTCCGTGAACAGTGAGTGAGGGGTTTGTTCCGTGAACAGTGAGTGAGGGGTTTGTTCCGTGAACAGTGAGGGGTTTATTCTGTGAACAGTGAGTGAGGGGTTTGTTCCGTGAACAGTGAGTGAGGGGTTTGTTCCGTGAACAGTGAGTGAGGGGTTTGTTCCGTGAACAGTGAGGGGGGTTTGTTCCGTGAACAGTGAGGGGGGTTTGTTCCGTGAACAGTGAGTGAGGGGTTTGTTCTGTGAACAGTGAGGGGGGTTTGTTCCGTGAACAGTGAGTGAGGGGTTTGTTCCGTGAACAGTGAGTGAGGGGTTTGTTCCGTGAACAGTGAGGGGGGTTTGTTCCGTGAGCAGTGAGTGAGGGGTTTGTTCTGTGAACAGTGAGGGGGGTTTGTTCCGTGAGCAGTGAGGGGGGTTTGTTTCGTGAACAGTGAGGGGGGTTTGTTTGTGAACAGTGAGGGGGGTTTGTTCTGTGAACAGTGAGTGAGGGGTTTGTTCTGTGAACAGGGAGGGGGGTTTGTTCCGTGAACAGTGAGGGGGGTTTGTTCCGTGAACAGTGAGTGGGGTTTGTTCTGTGAACAGTGAGGGGGGTTTGTTCCGTGAACAGTGAGTGGGGTTTGTTCTGTGAACAGTGAGGGGGGGTTTGTTCCGTGAACAGTGAGTGAGGGGTTTGTTCTGTGAACAGTGAGGGGGGTTTGTTCGTGAGCAGTGAGGGGGGTTTGTTCCGTGAACAGTGAGGGGGGTTTGTTCGTGAGCAGTGAGGGGGGTTTGTTCTGTGAACAGTTGAGGGGGGTTTGTTCCGTGAACAGTGAGGGTTTGTTCCGTGAACAGTGAGGGGGGTTTGTTCTGTGAGCAGTGAGGGGGGTTTGTTACGTGAACAGTGAGTGAGGGGTTTGTTCCGTGAACAGTGAGTGAGGGGTTTGTTCTGTGAACAGGGAGGGGGGTTTGTTCTGTGAACAGTGAGGGGGGTTTGTTCTGTGAACAGTGAGTGAGGGGTTTGTTCTGTGAACAGTGAGGGGGGTTTGTTCCGTGAACAGTGAGGGGGGTTTGTTCTGTGAACAGTGAGGGGGGTTTGTTCCGTGAACAGGGAGGGGGGTTTGTTCTGTGAGTAGTGAGGGGGGTTTGTTCTGTGAGCAGTGAGTGAGGGGTTTGTTCCGTGAACAGTGAGGGGGGTTTGTTCCGTGAACAGTGAGTGAGGGGTTTGTTCTGTGAACAGTGAGGGGGGTTTGTTCCGTGAACAGTGAGGGGGGTTTGTTCCGTGAGTAGTGAGGGGGGTTTGTTCCGTGAACAGTGAGGGAGGGGTTTGTTCTGTGAACAGTGAGGGGGGTTTGTTCCGTGAGTAGTGAGGGGGGTTTGTTCCGTGAACAGTGAGGGGGGTTTGTTCTGTGAACAGTGAGGGGGGTTTGTTCCGTGAGTAGTGAGGGGGGTTTGTTCCGTGAGTAGTGAGGGGGGTTTGTTCCGTGAGCAGTGAGGGGGGTTTGTTCCATGAACAAGGAGGGGGGTTTGTTCCGTGAACAGTGAGGGGGGTTTGTTCCGTGAACAGTGAGTGAGGGGTTTGTTCTGTGAGCAGGGAGGGGGGTTTGTTTCGTGAACAGTGAGTGAGGGGTTTGTTCGTGAACAGTGAGAGAGGTTTGTTCTGTGAACAGTGAGGGGGGTTTGTTCTGTGAGCAGGGAGGGGGGTTTGTTCCGTGAACAGTGAGGGGGGTTTGTTCTGTGAACAGGGAGGGGGGTTTGTTCCGTGAACAGTGAGTGAGGGGTTTGTTCGTGAACAGTGAGGGAGGTTGTTCTGTGAACAGTGAGGGGGGTTTGTTCCATGAACAGTGAGGGGGGTTTGTTCTGTGAACAGTGAGTGAGGGGTTTGTTCTGTGAGCAGTGAGGGGGGTTTGTTCCGTGAACAGTGAGTGAGGGGTTTGTTCCGTGAACAGTGAGGGGGGTTTGTTCCGTGAACAGTGAGTGAGGGGTTTGTTCCGTGAACAGTGAGGGGGGTTTGTTCCGTGAACAGTGAGGGGGGTTTGTTCTGTGAACAGTGAGTGAGGGGTTTGTTCTGTGAACAGTGAGGGGGGTTTGTTCCGTGAACAGTGAGGGGGGTTTGTTCCGTGAACAGGCAGTGAGGGGGGTTTGTTCCGTGAACAGTGAGTGAGGGGTTTGTTCTGTGAACAGTGAGTGAGGGGTTTGTTCTGTGAGCAGGGAGGGGGGTTTGTTTCGTGAACAGTGAGTGAGGGGTTTGTTCGTGAACAGTGAGAGAGGTTTGTTCTGTGAACAGTGAGGGGTTTGTTCTGTGAACAGTGAGGGGGGTTTGTTCTGTGAGCAGGGAGGGGGGTTTGTTCCGTGAACAGTGAGGGGGGTTTGTTCTGTGAACAGTGAGTGAGGGGTTTGTTCTGTGAGCAGTGAGGGGGGTTTGTTCCGTGAACAGTGAGGGGGGTTTGTTCCGTGAGCAGTGAGTGAGGGGTTTGTTCTGTGAACAGTGAGGGGGGTTTGTTCTGTGAACAGTGAGGGGGGTTTGTTCCGTGAACAGTGAGTGAGGGGTTTGTTCCGTGAACAGTGAGGGGGGTTTGTTCCGTGAACAGTGAGGGGGGTTTGTTCCGTGAACAGTGAGTGAGGGGTTTGTTCCGTGAACAGTGAGGGGGGTTTGTTCCGTGAACAGTGAGGGGGGTTTGTTCTGTGAACAGTGAGTGAGGGGTTTGTTCTGTGAACAGTGAGGGGGGTTTGTTCTGTGAACAGTGAGGGGGGTTTGTTCTGTGAACAGTGAGTGAGGAGTTTGTTCTGTGAGCAGTGAGTGAGGGGTTTGTTCTGTGAACAGTGAGTGAGGGGTTTGTTCCGTGAACAGTGAGGGGGGTTTGTTCCGTGAACAGTGAGTGAGGGGTTTGTTCCGTGAACAGTGAGGGGGGTTTGTTCCATGAACAGTGAGTGGGGTTTGTTCTGTGAACAGTGAGGGGGGTTTGTTCCGTGAACAGTGAGGGGGGTTTGTTCCGTGAACAGTGAGTGAGGGGTTTGTTCTGTGAACAGTGAGGGGGGTTTGTTCCGTGAACAGTGAGTGAGGGGTTTGTTCCGTGAACAGTGAGTGAGGGGTTTGTTCCGTGAACAGTGAGGGGGGTTTGTTCCGTGAGCAGTGAGGGGGGTTTGTTCTGTGAACAGTGAGTGAGGGGTTTGTTCCGTGAACAGTGGGGGGGGGGGTTTGTTCCGTGAACAGGGAGGGGGGTTTGTTCCGTGAACAGTGAGTGAGGGGTTTGTTCCGTGAACAGTGAGTGAGGGGTTTGTTCGTGAGCAGTGAGGGGGGTTTGTTCGTGAACAGTGAGTGAGGGGTTTGTTCCGTGAACAGTGAGTGAGGGGTTTGTTCCGTGAACAGTGAGGGGGGTTTGTTCCGTGAACAGTGAGTGAGGGGTTTGTTCCGTGAACAGTGAGTGAGGGGTTTGTTCCGTGAACATGTGAGGGGGGTTTGTTCCGTGAACAGTGAGTGAGGGGTTTGTTCCGTGAACAGTGAGTGAGGGGTTTGTTCCGTGAACAGTGAGGGGGGTTTGTTCCGTGAACAGTGAGTGAGGGGTTTGTTCCGTGAACAGTGTGTGAGGGGTTTGTTCCGTGAACAGTGAGTGAGGGGTTTGTTCCGTGAACAGTGAGTGAGGGGTTTGTTCTGTGAACAGTGAGGGGGGTTTGTTCCGTGAACAGTGAGTGAGGGGTTTGTTCCGTGAACAGTGAGTGAGGGGTTTGTTCCGTGAACAGTGAGTGAGGGGTTTGTTCCGTGAACAGTGAGTGAGGGGTTTGTTCCGTGAACAGTGAGGGGTTTATTCTGTGAACAGTGAGTGAGGGGTTTGTTCCGTGAACAGTGAGTGAGGGGTTTGTTCCGTGAACAGTGAGGGGGGTTTGTTTCGTGAACAGTGAGGGGGGTTTGTTCTGTGAACAGTGAGTGAGGGGTTTGTTCTGTGAACAGTGAGGGGGGTTTGTTCTGTGAACAGTGAGTGAGGGGTTTGTTCCGTGAACAGTGAGTGAGGGGTTTGTTCCGTGAACAGGAGGCGCTAGCTGAGGGCTTCCCGGCGCCCTCGGAGCCGCTGCTGCCCATGCTGACAGAGGCGCTGTGCGCGGGAGCGGCGAGCGCCGGGGAGATGCAGTCGGCTCAGACGCAGCGCTGCCTCAAGCTGACGCACGTCCTCGACCTGATGATGCATATCCTTCACCCGCTGCCGCTGATGCCGGTGCTGCTGCTACTCACGCCAGCAGTCTCCTCTCTCCTCCCCGCGCCTTCCTGCGTCTCCCTGTGTCTCTCCCCTCCACTTCTGACACTTAATTAAGCACCCACAACTCACACACACCCTACAACTCACCCACACCCAACCCACCTACCCACACCACCCTACCCACCCACTCTACCCTACCCACCCACCCTACCCACCCACACCACCCTACCCACCCACACCACCCTACCCACCCACACCACCCTACCCACCTACCCAACCCACCTACCCACCCACACCACCCTACCCACCCACTCTACCCACCCACACCACCCTACCCACCCACCCACTCTACCCACCCACACCACCCTACCCACCCAAACCACCTACCCACCCACACCACCCTACCCACCCACCCACCCAACCCACCCACACCACCCTACCCACCCAACCCACCCACACCACCCTACCCACCCACCCACCCACCCAACCCACCCACACCACCCTACCCACCCACACCACCCTACCCACCCACCCAACCCACACACCCAACCCACCCAAACCACCTACCCACCCACACCACCCTACCCACCCACACCACCCTACCCACCCACACCACCCTACCCACCCACACCACCCTACCCACCCACACCACCCTACCCACCCACACCACCCTACCTACACACTCTACCCACCCACCCTACCCAAACACCCTACCCACCCACCCACTCTACCCACCATACCCACCCACCCACTCTACCCACCCACACCACCCTACCCACCCAAACCACCTACCCACCCACCCACACCACCCTACCCACCCTACCCACCCACCCTACCCACCCAACCCACCCACACCACCCTACCCACCCACACCACCCTACCCACCTACCCACCCACCCAACCTACCCCACCCACCCACCCACTTGAACTCAACTATTTTGTATTTTACCAGGTCAGGCTCCACTCACCTACGTAGACCCTTTTTACAGAAGCGACCACCCTGGCTATGAGAGCTCAACGAAAGTGTCTCATCATCATCATCACCATCATTGTCGTCGCCGCGTGGAAATTTCTAGCAGCGGCCAAATACTCTAAATCAACGTGACGTCGATTCTAAATGTGGAGGGAAAAGACCGGAGGAACCGGGGAAGAATCCACGCCACTGCCGGGAGAGAGAGACGCAGACTACAAATATACAGCAGCAGCAGGCATCGTCAGGGTCGGGATCGAACCCACGACCTCCTGTGTACCAGGCGAGGTAGTTAACTTATCACGATGGTGAGAGAGAGAGACGCAGACTACAAATATACAGCAGCTGTAGCAGACATTGTCAGGGTCGGGATCGAACCCACGACCTCCTGTGTACCAGGCGAGGTAGTTAACTTATCACGATGGTGAGAGAGAGACGCAGACTACAAATATACAGCAGCAGCAGACATTGCCAGGGTCGGGATCGAACCCACGACGTCCTGTGTACCAGGCGAGGTAGTTAACTTATCACGATGGTGAGAGAGAGAGACGCAGACTACAAATATACAGCAGCTGTAGCAGACATTGTCAGGGTCGGGATCGAACCCACGACCTCCTGTGTACCAGGCGAGGTAGTTAACTTATCACGATGGTGAGAGAGAGACGCAGACTACAAATATACAGCAGCAGCAGACATTGCCAGGGTCGGGATCGAACCCACGACGTCCTGTGTACCAGGCGAGGTAGTTAACTTATCGCGATGGTGAGAGAGAGACGCAGATTACAAATATACAGCAGCAGCAGCAGGCATCGTCAGGGTCGGGATCGAACCCACGACCTCCTGTGTACCAGGCGAGGTGGTTAATTATCACGATGGTGAGAGAGAGAGAGACGCAGACTACAAATATACAGCAGCAGCAGGCACCGTCAGGGTCGGGATCGAACCCACGACGTCCTGTGTACCAGGCGAGGTAGTTAACATCTCCCTAGCCACCGTGGTGATGATGAGAGAAACACACAAACTCCAAATATACAGCAGCAGGCATCATTGGGGTCGGGATCGAACCCACGACCTCCTGCATACCAGGCGAGGTAGTTAACATCTCCCTAGCCACCGTGGTGACGATGAGAGACTCGCACAAACTCCAAATATACAGCAGCAGGCATCAAGGTCAGGATCGCTCCCACGACCTCCTGCATACCAGGCGAGGTAGCTGACATCTCCCAGCCACCGCGATGATGATGATGATGATGTTTAGAGAGAGACGCAGACTCCGAATACGCAGCAGGCACCAGGGTCGGGTTCGAACCCACGACCTGTTGTGTACCAGGCGAGGTAGTTAACATCTCCCTAGCCACCGTGGTGATGATGAGAGAAACACACAAAACTCCAAATATACAGCAGCAGGCATCGTTAGGGTCGGGATCGAACCCATGACCTCCTGCATACCAGGCGAGGGAGCAAACATATCGTAGCCACCGTGATGATGATGAGAGAGACTCGCACAAACTCCAAATATACAGCAGCAGGCATCAAGGTCAGGATCGCTCCCACGACCTCCTGTATACCAGGCGAGGTAGCTGACATCTCCCAGCCACCGCGACGATGATGATGATGTTCAGAGAGAGACGCAGACTCCGAATACGCAGCAGGCACCACCAGGGTCGGCTTGGAACCCGCTGCCTCCCAGCCGTTGTTGCCTTGACGGGCGACGCTTCCCCTCTCCCCCACTGCTGAGTGGGGGCGTGGGGCAGGAGCAGGAGGAGGCGGCGGAGGCGGCGGAGGCGGGCAGTGGCATGGCGAGGGTGGGCGCAGCGGTGGAGGCCGGCGGCCTGGCCACCCTGCTGGAGGAGCAGCTGTCTCACAGCCCGCTGAGCACGGGCAGGCCGCTGGCTCGCTCGTCGCCTCACTACGCGGCGTGGTGAGTGTGCGCGTGTGTGTGTGTGTGCGTGTGTGTGTGTGTGCGTGTGTGTGTGTGTGAGTGTGTGCGTGCGTGCGTGCGTGTGTGTGTGTGTGTGCGTGGTGAGTGTGTGCGTGGTGAGTGTGTGCGTGTGTGTGTGTGTGTGTGCGTGTGTGCGTGTGTGTGTGTGTGTGCGTGTGTGCGTGTGTGAGTGTGTGTGAGTGTGTGTGTGAGTGAGTGTGTGTGTGCGTGCGTGTGTGAGTGTGTGCGTGAGTGTGTGTGTGTGTGGTCGACTCACTTTGACAACCGGTCGCGCGCCTCCCCGTCGGTCGACTCGGCCTCAGCGGTTTGTGGAGTGGAACGTCGCCACTGAGGGGGGCGGGGGTGGGGGGGGGGTGTGGAGAGACAAAGGCGGCCGGGCGGGCGTGGTGCTGGACACCCACACCCCTCGTGTGCCACAGTGCCGGCCTTCGTAGGTGCTGCTACTTGCTACCAACAGCACTTGCCCCTACAGCCTGCTAGAGGCTACACGGGGGACCTTTGTCTGTGTCTACCTTCATAGACGCTGCTGCTGCTACTCGCTACTGACAGCACTTGCCCCTACAGCCTGCTAGAGGCTACACGGGGGGCCTTTGTCTGTGTCTACCTTCATAGACACTGCTGCTACTAACAGCACTTGCCCCTTACAGTCTGTTGAAGGCTACGCGGGGGACCTTTGTCTGCGTCTACCTTCATAGGCACTGCTGCTGCTACTCGCTACCAACAGCACTTGCCCCTTACAGTCTGTTGAAGGCTACGTGGGGGACCTTTGTCTTTGCAGTGAGGCAGGGGCAGACGTTCTGCTCAAGGCTTTGGAGCTGTTGAGCCGACTGAAGCACGGCCTCCCCAGCCTGGAGGCGAACCTGTACAAGACCCTGCAGGTCGCTTTGCGTACACACGCACACACACACACACACACGCGCGGACACGTGTACACGTGCACACTCGCGCACACATAGCCTTAACAGACTGAAGGGGCAAGTGCTGTTAGCGAGCACCTATGAAGGCCGGAACGGTACACGAGGGGGGTGGGTGGCCAGCACCACGCCCGGCCGCCTTTGTTTCCCCAGCGGCGATGTTTACTACACACCGTACCAGGTACTCGTTTGAGGCTGAGTCGACCTAGGGGAGCCCCGGGACCGGTTCAGGTAATCGTCACCGGTGTTGGCCGTGAGCGGGAATGGAACCCGGGTTCGCCAGGTTCATAGCGCAGCGTAGCGCTAACCGCTACATTATCGCTCACGCACACACGCGCACACACACACACGCACAGTCACACACGCGCACACACGCACACATGCGCACAGACACACGTGCACACTCACGCGACACACACATGCGCACAGTTTCACAAGCACGCTGACGCACAGTCACGCGCACACTCACGCACACGCGCACAGTCACACGCGCACTCACGCACACACACTCGCGCGCACACACACACGCGCACAGTCGCACACGCACGCTGACGCACAGTCACACAAGTACACTGACGCACAGTTACACAAGCACACTGACGCACACACACACGCGCACAGTTACACAAGCACGCTGACACACAGTCACACGCGCACACTCACGCACACACACACGTGCACACTCACGCACGTGAGTGTAGGAAGCCGGTGGTCACCGCGTCGCTGCTTCTGCGGCCGTCCGGAACGCGCCGCTTTCCCTTCAGACATCTGGAAGCCATTGGGGGGGGGGGGAGTCACGCCACCTTTAAATCATCGCCTGCATCATCATCGTCATCATCGTCATCATCGCCTGCATCGTCGTCATCGTCGTCATCATCATCATCGTCGTCATCATCGTCGTCATCATCGTCTACACTGACAAAACTCGGCTCTCCAGCGCTGTCCTCGAGACAGTCTGGGCTCCCTTCACCTGATGAAGGCCGCTTGTGTTGTGGCCGAAACGTCGTGGTGATTTTTTGCTGTTTTATTTTTTACCTACGTGGTGACTTTACCGAATAGAACCAAAGAGGATGGATCCTTGCAGTCACGAAAGCTTCAAATCTAGCACTGCTTCTCGTCTTTAGCTTCTTGTATTTCCCACCACCATTGCAAACTCCGATTAGCACTGTTGGTTGCGTGCGGTGCAAAAGGAGGTCCAACATACAGACGGTGGTGGTGGTGATGTTGATAATGTTGATGTTAAATTTTGATTTAAAGCTTTCGTGACTGCAGTAATTCATATTCTTAGCTCTTTCGGTAAAGTCACGTTGAAGGGAAACAATAAAATAATAAAATATATATATAAAACAATAAAAATTCTCACGACGTTTCGACCATAACACAAACGGTCATCATCATCATCAGGTGATGATGACGACGTTTCGACCATAACACAAACGGTCATCATCATCACCTGATGATGTTTCGACCATAACACAAACGGTCATCATCATCAGGTGATGATGATGACCGTTTGTGTTATGGTCGAAACGTCGTGAGAATTTTTATTGTTTTATATATATTTTATTATTTAATTGTTTCCCTTCAACGTGACTTTACCGAAAGAGCTAAGAATATAAATATAATGTTGATAATGCTGATGGTGGTGATGTTGAGGAGGTACCTGTAATGATGAGAAAATAGGGGATGTTGATGATGATGATGGTGGTGGTAGTGGTGATGATGATGTTGTTGATGGTGGTGATGTTGATGAGGTACCTGCAAGGTGAGGAAGTGGGGGATGGTGGTGATGCGGCCGTCTGGAACGCTGTTTTTTACAATATTAAGAAGCCACTAGGAGCTATGCCACTTAAATCATCATCTAGATTGACAAACTCATTTCTTTAGAACTGCTTCTTGTTGTTGTTGTGCTTAGTGTTGTTGTAGTTGTTGTGCTTAGTGTTGTGCTTAGTGTTGTTGTAGTTGTTGTGCTTAGTGTTATTGTAGTTGTTGTGCTTAGTGTTGTTGTAGTTGTGCTTAGTGTTGTTGTTGTGCTTAGTGTTGTCGTTGTTGTGTTTAGTGTTGTTGTTGTGTTTAGTGTTGTTGTGTTTTGTGTTGTTGTGCTTAGTGTTGTTGTTGTGCTTAGTGTTGTTGTGTTTAGTGTTGTTGTTGTGCTTAGTGTTGTTGTTGTTGTGCTTAGTGTTGTTGTTGTGCTTAGTGTTGTTGTTGTGCTTAGTGTTGTTGTGTTTAGTGTTGTTGTTGTGCTTAGTGTTGTTGTTGTGCTTAGTGTTGTTGTTGTGCTTAGTGTTGTTGTTGTGCTTAGTGTTGTTGTTGTGCTTAGTGTTGTTGTTGTGTTGCTTAGTGTTGTTGTTGTGTTGCTTAGTGTTGTTGTGTTTAGTGTTGTTGTCGTTGTGTTGCTTAGTGTTGTTGTTGTGCTTAGTGTTGTTGTGCTTAGTGTTGTTGTGTTTAGTGTTGTTGTCGTTGTGTTGCTTAGTGTTGTTGTTGTGTTTAGTGTTGTTGTGCTTAGTGTTGTTGTGTTTAGTGTTGTTGTCGTTGTGTTGCTTAGTGTTGTTGTTGTTGTGTTTAGTGTTGTTGTGTTTAGTGTTGTTGTTGTTGTGCTTAGTGTTGTTGTTGTTGTGTTTAGTGTTGTTGTGTTTAGTGTTGTTGTTGTTGTTGTGTTTAGTGTTGTTGTTGTGTTTAGTGTTCTTGTCGTTGTTGTGCTTAGTGTTGTTGTTGTGCTTAGTGTTGTTGTCGTTGTGTTGCTTAGTGTTGTTGTGTTGCTTAGTGTTGTTGTGCTTAGTGTTGTTGTTGTGCTTAGTGTTGTTGTTGTGCTTAGTGTTGTTGTTGTGCTTAGTGTTGTTGTCGTTGTTGTGTTTAGTGTTGTTGTTGTGTTTAGTGTTCTTGTCGTTGTGTTGCTTAGCGTTGTTGTTGTGCTTAGTGTTGTTGTGCTTAGTTTGTTGGCTATGTGCGGTGGCGCAAAAGAAGTTCAACGTGCATGCGTAGTGTGTGCGTGTATGTGTGTACGTGTGTGTGTGTGCGCGTGCTTGTGTGTGCGTGCTTGTGCGTGCTTGTGTGCGTGTGCTTGTGTGTGTGCGTGCTTGTGTGTGTTTGTGTGCGTGTGTGTTTGTATGTGTGTGTGCGTGCTTGTGTGCGTGCGTGCTTGTGTGTGTGCGTGTGTGTGCGTGTGTGTGCTTGTGTGTGTGTGTGTTTGTGTGCGTGTGTGTGTGCTTGTGTGCGTGCGTGCTTGTGTGTGTGTGTGTGCTTGTGTGTGCGTGTGTGCTTGTGTGTGCGTGCGTGTGTTTGTGTGTGTGTGCGTGCGTGTGTGTGTGCTTGTGTGTGTGTGTGTTTGTGTGCGTGTGTGTGTGTGCGTGTGTGTGCGTGTGTGTGCTTGTGTGTGTGTGTGTTTGTGTGCGTGTGTGTGTGCTTGTGTGCGTGCGTGCTTGTGTGTGTGTGCGTGTGTTTGTGTGTGTGTGCGTGCGTGTGTGTTTGTGTGCGTGTGTGTGTGCGCGTGTGTGTGCTTGTGTGTGTGTGTGTGTTTGTGTGCGTGTGTGTGTGCTTGTGTGCGTGCGTGCTTGTGTGTGTGTGCGTGCTTGTATGTGTGTGTGTGCTTGTGTGTGCGTGCGTGTGTTTGTGTGTGTGTGCGTGTGTGTGTGTGCGTGCTTGTGTGCGTGTGTGTGTGTGTGTGCGTGTGTGTGTGTGTGCTTGTGTGTGTGTGTGCGTGCTTGCGTGTTTGTGTGTGTGTGCGTGCTTGTGTGTGTGCGTGTGTATACCTCCGTGTGTCTGCGTGTGTCTGCGTGTGTCTGTGTGTATGTGGGGAGCGGTAGCGTAGCGGTTAGTGCTACGCTACGCTGCGAACTTGGCGACCCGGGTTCGACTTGCCCCTACAGTTTGTTAAGGCTATGCGGGGGATCTTTCTCTTTGTATGTATAATGGGGAGCGGTGGTGCAGCGATTAGCGCTCCGCGCTACCAACCCGGCGGCCCGAGTTCGATCCCCGCTCACGGCCACCGACATAATCTGAACCGGTCCTGGGCCTCCCCTAGGTTGACCCAGCCTCAGTTGAGTAGCTGGTGTAGCGGTGTGCAGTAAACGTCGCCACCGGGGAGACAAAGACGGCCGGGCGCGGTCCCGACCACCCACCCACCCTCTCGCGTGCCGTGCCGACCTTCGGAGGTGCTTGCTAACAGCACTTGCCCTGACAGTCTGTTACAGGCTATACGGGGGGGGTCTTTGTCTACTTCTAAAACACAGCGAGAGGTGGCACAGGGTCTGTTCCGTGACCTCCTGCACCTAGCCTGGCACGACAGTCAACCCATGGCACCTGCAGGGTCTGTTCCGTGACCTCCTGCACCTAGCCTGGCACGACAGTCAACCCATGGCACCTGGGTTTGATCCGTGACCTCCTCCTGCACTTAGCCTGGCACAGCAGTCAACCCATAGCACCTGTTGAGTCTATGGTGCAGTGTTGAGTCTATGGTGCAGTGTTGAGTCTATGGTGCAGTGTTGAGTCTATGGTGCAGTGTTGAGTCTATGGTGCAGTGCTGAGTCTATGGTGCAGTGCTGAGTCTATGGTGCAGTGTTGAGTCTATGGTGCAGTGTTGAGTCTATGGTGCAGTGTTGAGTCTATGGTGCAGTGTTGAGTCTATGGTGCAGTGTTGAGTCTATGGTGCAGTGCTGAGTCTATGGTGCAGTGCTGAGTCTATGGTGCAGTGTTGAGTCTATGGTGCAGTGCTGAGTCTATGGTGCAGTGTTGAGTCTATGGTGCAGTGCTGAGTCTATGGTGCAGTGTTGAGTCTATGGTGCAGTGTTGAGTCTGTGGGCAGTGTTGAGTCTATGGTGCAGTGTTGAGTCTATGGTGCAGTGCTGAGTCTATGGTGCAGTGTTGAGTCTGTGGGCAGTGTTGAGTCTATGGGCAGTGTTGAGTCTATGGTGCAGTGTTGAGTCTATGGTGCAGTGTTGAGTCTATGGTGTAGTGTTGAGTCTATGGTGCAGTGTTGAGTCTATAGTGCAGTGTTGAGTCTATGGGTAGTGTTGAGTCTATGGGCAGTGTTGAGTCTATGGTGTAGTGTTGAGTCTATGGTGTAGTGTTGAGTCTATGGTGCAGTGTTGAATCTATGGTGCAGTGTTGAGTCTATGGTGCAGTGTTGAGTCTATGGTGCAGTGTTGAGTCTATGGGCAGTGTTGAGTCTATGGTGTAGTGTTGAGTCTATGGTGCAGTGTTGAGTCTATGGTGCAGTGTTGAGTCTATGGGCAGTGTTGAGTCTATGTGTAGTGTTGAGTCTATGTTGAGTATGTGTAGAGTTGAGTCTATGTGTAGTGTTGAGTCTATGTTGAGTCTGTGTAGTGTTGAGTCTATGTTTAGTCTATGTGTTGTGTTGAGTCTGTTTAGTCTATGTGTTAAGTGTTGAGTCTATGTTTAGTCTATGTATTAAGTGTTGAGTCTATGTTGAGTATGTGTAGAGTTGAGTCTATGTGTAGTGCTGCTTGATGTACGGGGGTGTTGGTCGTGTGCAGGACGTGCGTCTGGTGCCGTTCCTGGTGTTCTCTTTGGCCTCCGTGAGTCGCGAGCGCGTTCAGTGCGGACTTCGAGTGCTCATGGAGGCCACTCAGCTCCCCGACTTCCCAGCCATCACGTGGGCTAGCAGCTACATCGCTCGCCCCTCACCCGCTCACTCACCCACTCGCTCACCCGATTGCTTGCTCACTCATCCACATACTCACTAACCCACTCGCTCACTCACTCAACCACATTCTCACTCGCTCACTCACCCACTCGCGCACATGCTTGCTTGCTCACTCGCTCACTCACTCACCAACTCACTCAATCGCTCTTCCACATTCTCACTCACCCCTTCACTCAGCTAACTGACTTACGAGCCGTCACGTGGACTAGCAGCTACATCACTCCTCACCCGCTCGCTCACTCACTCAGCCACATTCGCACTCACTCGCTAACCCACTCACTCATCCACATTCTCATTCACCCACCCACTCACTGATCCACTTTCTCACTCACTCACCCACTCACTCATCTACATTCTCACTCACACACGCACTCTCCCACTCAATCACTCACCCACTCCTTCATCCACATTCTCACTCACCCACTCACTCACCCACTCATTCACTCATCCACTCACTCATCCACTCACTCATTCATTCACTCCCTCACTCACTCATCCACATTCTCATTCAACCACTCACTCATCCACTCACTCACTCACTCATCCACATTCTCATTCAACCACTCACTCATCCACTCACTCATCCACTCACTCATCCACTCACTCATCCACTCACTCACTCATTCACTCACTCATCCACTCACTCACTCATTCACTCACTCATCCACTCACTCACTCACTCATCCACATTCTCATTCAACCACTCACTCATCCACTCACTCATCCACTCACTCACTCATTCACTCACCCACTCACTCATCCACATTCTCATTCAACCACTCACTCATCCACTCACTCATTCACTCACTCACTCATTCACTCACCCACATTCCCATTCAACCACTCACTCATCCACTCACTCACTCATTCACTCATCCACATTCTCATTCAACCACTCACTCATCCACTCACTCATCCACTCACTCATCCACTCACTCATCCACATTCTCACTCACCCACCCACTCATTCACTCACTCAACCACTCACTCATCCACTCACTCACCTACCCACTCACTCATCCACATTCTCACTCACCCACCCACTCATTCACTCACTCAACCACTCACTCATCCACTCACTCACCTACCCACTCACTCATCCACATTCTCACTCACCCACCCACTCATTCACTCACTCAACCACTCACTCATCCACTCACTCACCTACCCACTCACTCATCCACATTCTCACTCACCCACCCACTCATTCACTCACTCAACCACTCACTCATCCACTCACTCACCTACCCACTCACTCATCCACATTCTCACTCACCCACCCACTCATTCACTCACTCAACCACTCACTCATCCACTCACTCACCTACCCACTCACTCATCCACATTCTCACTCACCCACCCACTCATTCACTCACTCAACCACTCACTCATCCACTCACTCACCTACCCACTCACTCATCCACATTCTCACTCACCCACCCACTCATTCACTCACTCAACCACTCACTCATCCACTCACTCACCTACCCACTCACTCATCCACATTCTCACTCACCCACCCACTCATTCACTCACTCAACCACTCACTCATCCACTCACTCACCTACCCACTCACTCATCCACATTCTCACTCACCCACCCACTCATTCACTCACTCAACCACTCACTCATCCACTCACTCACCTACCCACTCACTCATCCACATTCTCACTCACCCACCCACTCATTCACTCACTCAACCACTCACTCATCCACTCACTCACCTACCCACTCACTCATCCACATTCTCACTCACCCACCCACTCATTCACTCACTCCACCACTCACTCATCCACTCACTCACCTACCCACTCACTCATCCACATTCTCACTCACCCACCCACTCATTCACTCACTCAACCACTCACTCATCCACTCACTCACCTACCCACTCACTCATCCACATTCTCACTCACCCACCCACTCATTCACTCACTCAACCACTCACTCATCCACTCACTCACCTACCCACTCACTCATCCACATTCTCACTCACCCACCCACTCATTCACTCACTCAACCACTCACTCATCCACTCACTCACCTACCCACTCACTCATCCACATTCTCACTCACCCACCCACTCATTCACTCACTCAACCACTCACTCATCCACTCACTCACCTACCCACTCACTCATCCACATTCTCACTCACCCACCCACTCATTCACTCACTCAACCACTCACTCATCCACTCACTCACCTACCCACTCACCTACCCACTCACTCATCCACATTCTCACTCACCCACCCACTCATTCACTCACTCAACCACTCACTCATCCACTCACTCACCTACCCACTCACTCATCCACATTCTCACTCACCCCCCCCCCCCCCCTTCACTAGGGTCACCGATTTCCGTGCGTGCTCCCTGATTCTTCCTCCTCCTCCTCCCCCTCCTGCCATCTCGACCCAGGCTCGGTGAGAGCATCGCTGCCAGCAACTCGCAGTTCGAGGGTTCGGCTCCCGTCCTCCCGGCGTCACCCGCGCACACTCACCACCACCAACACCGCCACGCTCACCCTGCAAACCACGCTCACCTCTCTCGCCACGGTCGGATGAAGCCGACCCCCGACCCGGACACGGTGCAGCAGCTCATCGACAAGATCCGCTCGGGCATGGAGGTGCGAGCAAGCCCAACCACCACACACACCCCCTCCCCCGCTCACCCACCCCCCCCTCTACCCCCCCCCTCTACCCCACCCCCCCCCCCCCCCCCTCACTATCTCCCTGTCTCTCCCCGTGTCACATTGTGCCTCACTGTGTCTCCACGTGTCTCCCCCGTGTCTCCCCCGTGTCTCCTCCATGTCACCACGTGTCTCCCCTGTGTCTCCCCGTGTCTCCCCCGTGTCTCCTCCATGTCACCACGTGTCTCCCCCGTGTCTCCCCCGTCTCTCCCCCGTGTCTCCCACGTGTGACCCCGTGTCACCCCGTGTCTCCCCTGTATCACCCCAGTGTCACCCCGTGTCACCCCGTGTCACCCCGTGTTACTCCACGTCACCACGTGTCACCCCGCGTCACTACGCATCACCACGCGTCACCCCGCGTCACTCCGTGTCACCCCGTGTCACCCCGTGTCACCACGCGTCACCACGCGTCACTCCGTGTCACCCCGTGTCACCCCGTGTCACCACGCGTCACCACGCGTCACCACGCGTCACCCCGTGTCACCACGCGTCACCACGCGTCACCCCGTGTCACCACGCGTCACCACGCGTCACCACGCGTCACCACGCGTCACCACGCGTCACCCCGTGTCACCCCGTGTCACCCCGTGTCACTCCACGTCACCACGCGTCACCACGCGTCACCACGCGTCACCCCGTGTCACCCCGTGTCACCCCGTGTCACTCCACGTCACCACGCGTCACCACGCGTCACCCCGTGTCACCCCGTGTCACCACGCGTCACCACGCGTCACCCCGTGTCACCCCGTGTCACCCCGTGTCACTCCACGTCACCACGCGTCACCACGCGTCACCCCGTGTCACCCCGTGTCACCACGCGTCACCACGCGTCACCCCGTGTCTGCCCGTGTCTCCTCCTTGTCTCCCCCGTGTCTCCCCCGTGTCTCCCCCGTGTCTCCCCCGTGTCTCCCCCGTGTCTCCCCCGCGTCACCCCGCGTCACCCCGTGTCACCCCGTGTCTCCTCCTTGTCTCCCCCTTGTCTCCCCGTGTCTCCCGGTGTCACCCCGTGTCTCCCCCGCGTCACCCCGCGTCACCCCGCGTCACCCCGTGTGACCCCGTGTCACCCCGCGTCACCACGCGTCACCCCGTGTCTCCTCGTGTCTCTCCACAGATCACAGACGTGGTGCGAGACGTCAAAACGTCTGAAATCATCGACGTCTACGAACAGAAACTCTCCTCCCTCGCCGTGCGTCTCACATGGCTGTCCTCTCTACAGCTCGTGTGTTTGTGTGTGCTGTCTGTCTGTGTGTGCTGTCTGTGTGTGTGCTGTCTGTCTGTGTGTGCTGTCTGCGAGTGTGTGTGCTGTCTGTGTGTGTGCTGTCTGTGTGTGTGTGCTGTCTGTGTGTGTGTGCTGTGTGTGTGTGCTGTCTGTGTGTGTGTGCTGTCTGTGTGTGTGCTGTGTGTGTGTGTTCTGTCTGTGTGTGTGTGCTGTCTGTGTGTGTGTGCTGTCTGTGTGTGTGTGTGCTGCCTGTGTGTGTGTGTGCTGCCTGTGTGTGTGCTGTCTGCGAGTGTGTGTGTCTGTGTGTTGTCTGTGTGTGTGCTGTCTGCGCGTGTGTGCTGTCTGTGCATGTGTGCTGTCTGTGTGTGTGTGCTGTCTGTGTGTGTGTGCTGTCTGTGTGTGTGTGCTGTCTGTGTGTGCTGTCTGTGTGTGTGTGCAGTCTGTGCGTGTGTGCTGTCTGTGTGTGTGTGCTGTCTGTGTGTGTGTGCTGTCTGTGTGTGTGTGCTGTCTGTACGTGTGTGCTGTCTGTACGTGTGTGCTGTCTGTGCATGTGTGCTGTCTGTGCGTGTGTGCTGTCTGTGCGTGTGTGCTGTCTGTGTGTGTGTGTGCTGTCTGTGTGTGTGTGCTGTCTGTGTGTGTGTGTGCTGTCTGTGTGTGTGTGCTGTCTGTGTGTGCTGTCTGTGTGTGTGTGCTGTCTGCGCGTGTGTGCTGTCTGCGTGTGTGTGCTGTCTGCGTGTGTGTGTGTGTGCTGTTTGTGTGTGTGTGTGTGCTGTCTGTCTGTGTGTGTGTGCTGTCTGTCTGTGTGTGTGTGCTGTCTGTGCGTGTGTGCAGTCTGCTCGTGTGTGCTGTCTGTGTGTGTGTGCTGTCTGTGTGTGCTGTCTGTGTGTGTGTGCTGTCTGTGTGTGTGTGTGCTGTCTGTGTGTGTGCTGTCTGTGTGTGTGTGCTGTCTGTGTGTGTGTGCTGTCTGTGTGTGTGTGCTGTCTGTGTGTGTGTGCTGTCTGCGAGTGTGTGCTGTCTGTCTGCGTGTGTGCTGTCTGTCTGCGTGTGTGCTGTCTGTGTGTGTGCAGTCTGTGCGTGTGTGCTGTCTGTGCGTGTGTGCTGTCTGTGCGTGTGTGCTGTCTGTGCGTGTGTGCTGTCTGTGCGTGTGTGCTGTCTGTGCGTGTGTGCTGTCTGTGCGTCTGTGTTGTCTGTGCGTGTGTGCTGTCTGCGTGTGTGTGTGTGTGCTGTCTGCGTGTGTGTGTGTGCTGTCTGTGTGTGTGTGTGTGCTGTCTGCGTGTGTGTGTGTGCTGTCTGCGTGTGTGTGCTGTCTATTGGACCTGCTGGGGTTGTGGTTGTAGATGGTGAGTGGTAGTTGGTTGTTGTTGTGGTGGTTATTGTTGGGATGGTTGTTGTTGTTGTTTAGACTAAGGAGCAGCACCTGTCGGACCTGCTGGAGGCGAAGTCCATGGCATTGGTCCAGGCCGACCGTCTGCTCACCCAGCACCGCTCACACCGGGACCAGAGTGAGGCCGAGGTAACCACGGAATCCGGTACCACGGAACCACACGGTACCATACAGTACCACACAGTACAACAGGGTACCAAACAGTACCACACGGTAATACAGTACCACACAGTACCACACGGTAACACAGTACCACACGGTAACACAGTACCACACGGTAACACAGTACCACACAGTACCACACGTTAACACAGTACCACACAGTAACACAGTACCACACAGTACCACAGTACCATACGGTACCACAGTACCACACGGTAACACAGTACCACACGGTAACACAGTACCACACAGTACCACACGGTAACACAGTACCACACAGTACCACAGTACCACACGGTAACACAGTACCACACGGTAACACAGTACCGCACAGTACCACAGTACCACACGGTACCACACAGTAACACACAGTACCACACGGTACCACAGTACCACACGGTAACACAGTACCACACGGTAACACAGTACCACACGGTAACACAGTACCACACGGTAACACAGTACCACACAGTACCACACGGTAACACAGTACCACACGGTAACACAGTACCACACAGTACCACACGGTACCACAGTACCATACGGTACCACAGTACCACACGGTAACACAGTACCACACGGTAACACAGTGTCACACGGTAACACAGTGTCACACGGTACCATACAACACAGTACCACATGGAGCCATAGCACCACACGGTTCCACGGTTCTAAAGTACTGTCCCTATTCCTGTCTCCCCGTGTTTCCCCGTGTCTCTGCGTGTCTCACCGTGTCTCTGCTTGTCTCTGCGTGTCTCACCGTGTCTCCCTGTGTCTCCCCGTGTCTCCCCGTGTCGCACCGTGTCTCACCCCGCGTCTCACTGCGTCTCCCCGTGTCTCCCCGTGTCTCCCCGTGTCTCACCGTGTCTCCCTGTGTCTCACCCCGTGTCTCACCCCGTGTCTCACCCCGTGTCTCACCCCGTGTCTCACCCTGTGTCTCACCCTGTGTCTCATCTCACCGTGTCTCACCCTGTGTCTCACCCTGTGTCTCCCCATGTGTCTCCCCGTGTCTCCCCATGTGTCTCCCCATGTGTCTCACCCTGTGTCTCCCCTCATCTCACCATGTCTCTCCGTGTCTCACCCCGTGTCTCCCCGTGTCTCCCCGTGTCTCCCCATGTGTCTCCCCATGTGTCTCACCCTGTGTCTCCCCATGCGTCTCTCCATGTGTCTCCCCTCATCTCACCATGTCTCCCCGTGTCTCACCCCGTGTCTCACCCCGTGTCTCCCCGTGTCTCACCCCGTGTCTCACCCCGTGTCTCCCCATGTGTCTCCCCGTGTCTCCCCATGTGTCTCCCCGTGTCTCCCCATGTGTCTCCCCGTGTCTCCCCATGTGTCTCCCCATGTGTCTCACCCCGTGTCTCCCCTCATCTCACCATGTCTCACCCCGTGTCTCACCCCGTGTCTCACTCCGTGTCTCACCCTGTCTCCCCATGTGTCTCCCCATGTGTCTCCCCATGTGTCTCCCCATGTGTCTCCCCATGTGTCTCACCCCGTGTCTCACCCCGTGTCTCACCCCGTGTCTCACCCCGTGTCTCACCCTGTGTCTCACCCTGTGTCTCATCTCACCGTGTCTCACCCTGTGTCTCACCATGTGTCTCACCATGTGTCTCTCCATGTGTCTCCCCGTGTCTCCCCATGTGTCTCACCCTGTGTCTCCCCTCATCTCACCATGTCTCTCCGTGTCTCACCCCGTGTCTCCCCGTGTCTCCCCGTGTCTCCCCATGTGTCTCACCCTGTGTCTCATCTCACCGTGTCTCACCCTGTGTCTCACCCTGTGTCTCTCCATGTGTCTCCCCGTGTCTCCCCATGTGTCTCCCCATGTGTCTCACCCTGTGTCTCCCCTCATCTCACCATGTCTCTCCGTGTCTCACCCCGTGTCTCCCCGTGCCTCCCCGTGTCTCCCCATGTGTCTCCCCATGTGTCTCACCCTGTGTCTCCCCATGCGTCTCTCCATGTGTCTCCCCTCATCTCACCATGTCTCCCCGTGTCTCACCCCGTGTCTCACCCCGTGTCTCCCCGTGTCTCACCCCGTGTCTCACCCCGTGTCTCCCCATGTGTCTCCCCGTGTCTCCCCATGTGTCTCCCCATGTGTCTCCCCGTGTCTCCCCATGTGTCTCCCCATGTGTCTCCCCATGTGTCTCACCCCGTGTCTCCCCTCATCTCACCATGTCTCACCCCGTGTCTCACCCCGTGTCTCACTCCGTGTCTCCCCGTGTCTCACCCCGTGTCTCACCCCGTGTCTCCCCATGTGTCTCCCCGTGTCTCCCCATGTGTCTCCCCATGTGTCTCCCCGTGTCTCCCCATGTGTCTCCCCATGTGTCTCCCCGTGTCTCCCCGTGTCTCACCCCGTGTCTCACCCCGTGTCTCCCCATGTGTCTCCCCGTGTCTCCCCGTGTGTCTCCCCGTGTGTCTCCCCGTGTACCAAAGCACCCCGCGTCTCCCCACGTCTCATGCTGTCTCCCCGCGTCTCACCCCCCCGCGTCTCGTCTAAGGCTCGCCGTCTCGCCAGCATGCTGTCTCACGCCGAGCGCCGGGTGGAGGAGCTGTCCGGGCGTCTCTCGGAGCAGGGGCAGGAGGCGGAGCGGGCCCGGGAGGACATGGACGCGCTGCTGCAGCACAATCGCCGCATGCAGGCGGCGGAGGAGAAGCACGCGCGGCTCACGGCCACCCACGCAGACCTGCAGCACAGGCAGCCACGCGTCGTACACCTCCGCTATGCACTACGCTACGCTACGCTATGCACTACGCTACTCTGCACTCTGCACTGCAGTCTCCACCACGCTCTGCACTGCACCCCACACACTGTGCTACACTGTACTGTGCACTGTACTCTACACTACAGTGTACACCGCGCTCCGCACCGCGCTCTGCACCGCGCTCTGCACCGCACTCTGCACTGCACTACGCACTACACTACGCACTACACTCTGCACTACACTACGCACTACACTATGCACTACACTATGCACTACACTACGCACTACACTACGCACTACACTACGCACTACACTATGCACTACACTATGCACTACACTACGCACTACACTATGCACTACACTATGCACTACACTACGCACTACACTATGCACTACACTATGCACTGCACTCTGCACTACACTACGCACTACACTATGCACTGCACTATGCACTACACTACGCACTGCACTATGCACTACACTACGCACTACACTATGCACTACACTCTACACTACACTATGCACTGCACTCTGCACTGCACTACGCACTACACTATGCACTACACTATGCACTGCACTATGCACTGCACTACGCACTACACTATGCACTACACTATGCACTACACTATGCACTACACTATGCACTACACTATGCACTACACTACGCACTACACTACGCACTACACTATGCACTACACTATGCACTACACTATGCACTACACTATGCACTACACTATGCACTACACTCTATATACGACACTCCGCACAATGCGCCGAGCTACACTTACACTGTATACATACACAGTAAAAACCTTAAATTTTGATTTAAAGCTTTCGTGACTGCAGTAATTCATATTCTTAGTTTTTTCGGTAAAGTCACGTTGAAGAGAAACAACAAAATAATAAAATATATATAAAACAATAAAAAATTCTCACGACGTTTCGACCATAACTCAAACGGTCACACCTGAAGATAACCGTTTGAGTTATGGTCGAAACGTCGTGATAATTTTTTTTATTGTTTTATATATATTTTGTTATTTTGTTGTTTCTCTTCAACGTGACTTTACCGAAAAAACTAAGAATATAGTAAAACCCTTGTTAATTCGACACGTTGGGCTCCGAATTATCTACAACATCACCCCCCCCCCCCCGGTACCTTCTGCCCCCCCAAAATTGTTTTCCAAACTCTTCACACCGCCACCACCACGACCAACACCACCAACACACGCTGTTGACTCACACACATGCACATCTGCGTCGATTCTACACTCGACACTGCGCTATGTACACTACACTTGACACTACACTATGTATACTACACTGCACTATGTATACTACACTCGACACTACACTATGTACACTACACTATGTACACTACACTATGTACACTACACTATGTACACTACACTCGACACTGCGCTATGTACACTGCACTATGTACACTACACTCGACACTACACTGTGTTTTACTACACTGTGTTTTACTACACTGTGTACACTACACTATGTATACTACACTATGTATACTACACTATGTAACTACACTATGTAACTACACTATGTATACTACACTATGTAACTACACTGTACACTACACTATGTACACTACACTATGTATACTACACTATGTACTCTACATTACACTATGTACACTACACTATGTACACTACACTATGTATACTACACTATGTACACTACACTATGTACACTACACTATGTAACTACACTATGTACACTACACTATGTATACTACATTACACACACTACACTACACACACAACACTATGTACACTACACTACGTACACTACACTATGTACACTACACTATGTACACTACACTATGTATACTACACTATGTACACTACATTACACTATGTACACTACACTCTACATTACACTATGTACACTACACTATGTACACTACACTTTGTACACTACACTACACACACTACACTATGTACACTACGCTATGTACACTACACTATGTACACTACATTACACTATGTACACTACACTCTACATTACACTATGTACACTACACTATGTACACTACACTATGTATACTACACTATGTACACTACACTATGTACACTACACTATGTAACTACACTATGTACACTACACTATGTATACTACACTACACACACTACACTACACACACAACACTATGTACACTACACTACGTACACTACACTATGTACACTACACTATGTACACTACACTATGTATACTACACTATGTACACTACATTACACTATGTACACTACACTCTACATTACACTATGTACACTACACTATGTACACTACACTTTGTACACTACACTACACACACTACACTATGTACACTACGCTATGTACACTACACTATGTACACTACATTACACTATGTACACTACACTCTACATTACACTATGTACACTACACTATGTACACTACACTTTGTACACTATACTATGTACACTACACTATGTACACTACACTATGTACACTACACTATGTACACTACACTATGTACACTACACTCTACGCACATACAACATACACCACCACACACTCAACTGTACGTATATATGCAACATACACCGTGCTACAAATCACCCTACACTGCACTAAACTCTACATATTCACAATATACACCGCCCTACACTCTCCACTGAGCTGATATTGACGATATTTACGATGATAATGGTGACGATGTTAACGACGACGATGTTGATGATGTTGAGGATGGGCAAAATTGATGCTGTTGACAATGATGATAGTGACAGATGTTGAAAATGATATTGATGATGACGATGTTAACGCTGACGATATGTCATCATTAGACCTCCTTTGCCGATACCAAAATATAATAGGGTTTTTTCCCCTTTTTTCTGGCAACAAGGATTCATGTTACTCCATTAACCCTATTATTATATTTTGGTACTGGCAAAAGGAGGTCTAATGATGAGGTAGATGCTCACCCCGAGCCCTCATTACTTTGATAGTGGCATTGTCTTTGAGCTGTGGTGACGCCTTTTGGCGTCATCTGGTCGAGCACCAATTGGGTCGAGGCTCAAACGAAAGCCGTCCCTTGGTGTGGACCAATCAGTTTCAAGGACAATGCCACATATATTGTCATAGTGTGTTTTTGTTTGCATTTTGACTGCAGGTATTTTGATTAATGCAGACATGAATCCACGTAAAAAGGTTTCAATTTTGTTGCCATAAAAAAGGGGACAAACAATATTATGATGACGACATTGATAATGTGATGATATTGATAATGGTGACGATGTGGATGATGATGATGATGATGGCAATGATGCAGTGGTAACGATGATGTGGATGACGGTGACGAGGATGGCTGATGATGACGGTGACGATGGCGATGACGATGTGGCTGACGATGGCGACGACGATGGTGACGACGATGGTGGCGACGATGGTGACGATGATTGGTGACGACGACGATGATGATGACGACGATGGTGTGGGTGACGTGCCCAGGCTGGAGGTGAGCGAGCGGCACTTGCTGAAGGCGCAGGAGGAGCAGCGGTCTCTGACGGAGCTCGCCGAGGTGTTGAGGCGGCACAACGACAACCTCAAGCAGAGCAACGACAAGTGTGTTGGGGGGTGGGAGACATGGGGAGGAGAGAGGAGACAGAGGGAGAATGGGAGACGCGGGAGGGGAGACGCGGGAGGGGAGACACGGGGCGTGAGGGGGGTAGAGACACGGGAGGGGAGACGCGGGAGGGGAGACACGGGGCGTGAGGGGGGTAGAGACACGGGAGGGGAGACGCGGGAGGGGAGACACGGGGCGTGAGGGGGGTAGAGACACGGGGTGTGAGGAGGGTGGAGACACGGGGTAGAGACACGGGGTGGAGACACGGGGTAGAGACACGGGGTGGAGACACAGGGTAGAGACACGGGGTGGAGACACGGGGTGTGAGGGGGGTAGAGACACGGGGTGGAGACACGAGGTGTGAGGGGGGTAGAGACACAGGGTGTGAGGGGGGTGGAGACACGGGGTGGAGACACGGGGTAGAGACACGGGGTAGAGACGCGGGGTAGAGACGCGGGGTAGAGACACGGGGTAGAGACGCGGGGTAGAGACACGGGGTAGAGACACGGGGTGGAGACACGGGGTGTGAGGGGGGTAGAGACACGGGGTGGAGACACGAGGTGTGAGGGGGGTAGAGACACAGGGTGTGAGGGGGGTGGAGACACGGGGTGGAGACACGGGGTAGAGACACGGGGTAGAGACGCGGGGTAGAGACGCGGGGTAGAGACACGGGGTAGAGACGCGGGGTAGAGACACGGGGTAGAGACGCGGGGTAGAGACGCGGGGTAGAGACGCGGGGTAGAGACGCGGGGTAGAGACGCGGGGTAGAGACACGGGGTAGAGACGCGGGGTAGAGACACGGGGTGTGAGGGGGGGTAGAGACGCGGGGTAGAGACGCGGGGTAGAGACGCGGGGTAGAGACGCGGGGTAGAGACACGGGGTAGAGACGCGGGGTAGAGACGCGGGGTAGAGACGCGGGGTAGAGACACGGGGTAGAGACACGGGGTAGAGACACGGGGTAGAGACACGGGGTAGAGACACGGGGTAGAGACACGGGGTAGAGACACGGGGTGTGAGGGGGGTGGAGACACGGGGTGGAGACACGGGGTAGAGACACAGGGTATGAGGGGGGTAGAGACACGGGGTGTGAGGGGGGTAGAGACACGGGGTAGAGGCACGGGGTAGAGGCACGGGGTAGAGGCACGGGGTAGAGGCACGGGGTAGAGACGCGAGGTCTGAGGGGGGTAGAGACACGGGGTGTGAGGGGGGTAGAGACGCGGGGTGTGAGGGGGGTAGAGACACGGGGTAGAGACACGAGGTGTGAGGGGGGTAGAGACACGGGGTAGAGACACGAGGTGTGAGGGGGGTAGAGACACGGGGTAGAGACACGAGGTGTGAGGGGGGTAGAGACACGGGGTAGAGACACGAGGTGTGAGGGGGGTAGAGACACGAGGTCTGAGGAGGTAGAGACGTGAGGTGTGAGGGGGGTAGAGACACGTACGAATGCCCGCGTGGTGGCCGTGTGTCCCGCAGGACTCTGTGCCAGCTGGGTGAGATGGAGGAGCAGTGCAAAGAGACGCGCAAGCTCCTGCAGGAGAGAGACGGCAAGATCACCGGTACCGCCTCAGCTGCCTAATCCTCACTCGCTCAACAAGGGGGGGGGCGGGGGGTGGGCGGGACTGTGTGAGTGGGCGGAGTTGGTGTGTGAGTGGGCGGAGTTGGTGTGTGAGTGGGCGGAGTTGGTGTGTGAGTGGGCGGAGTTGGTGTGTGAGTGGGCGGAGTTGGTGTGTGAGTGGGCGGAGCTGGTGTGTGAGTGGGCGGAGCTGGTGTGTGAGTGGGCGGAGTTGGTGTGTGAGTGGGCGGAGCTGGTGTGTGAGTGGGCGGAGCTGGTGTGTGAGTGGGCGGAGTTGGTGTGTGAGTGGGTGGAGCTAGTGTGAGTGGGTGGAACTAGTGAGTGAGTGGGCGGGGCTGGTGAGAGTGGGCGGGGCTGGTGAGTGAGTGGGCGGGGCTGGTGAGTGAGTGGGCGGGGCTGGTGAGTGAGTGGGCGGGGCTGGTGAGTGAGTGGGCGGGGCTAGTGAGTGAGTGGGCGGGGCTGGTGAGTGAGTGGGCGGGGCTGGTGAGTGAGTGGGCGGGGCTGGTGAGTGAGTGGGCGGGGCTGGTGAGTGAGTGGGCGGGGCTGGTGAGTGAGTGGGCGGGGCTGGTGAGTGAGTGGGCGGGGCTGGTGAGTGAGTGGGCGGGGCTGGTGAGTGAGTGGGCGGGGCTGGTGAGTGAGTGGGCGGGGCTGGTGAGTGAGTGGGCGGGGCTGGTGAGTGAGTGGGCGGGGCTGGTGAGTGAGTGGGCGGGGCTGGTGAGTGAGTGGGCGGGGCTGGTGAGTGAGTGGGCGGGGCTGGTGAGTGAGTGGGCGGGGCTGGTGAGTGAGTGGGCGGGGCTGGTGAGTGAGTGGGCGGGGCTGGTGAGTGAGTGGGCGGGGCTGGTGAGTGAGTGGGCGGGGCTGGTGAGTGAGTGGGCGGGGCTGGTGAGTGAGTGGGCGGGGCTGGTGAGTGAGTGGGCGGGGCTGGTGAGTGAGTGGGCGGGGCTGGTGAGTGAGTGGGCGGGGCTGGTGAGTGAGTGGGCGGGGCTGGTGAGTGAGTGGGCGGGGCTGGTGAGTGAGTGGGCGGGGCTGGTGAGTGAGTGGGCGGGGCTGGTGAGTGAGTGGGCGGGGCTGGTGAGTGAGTGGGCGGGGCTGGTGAGTGAGTGGGCGGGGCTGGTGAGTGGTTGGGGCTCGTGAGTGGGCGGGGCTGGTGAGTGAGTGGGCGGGGCTGGTGAGTGAGTGGGCGGGGCTGGTGAGTGAGTGGGCGGGGCTGGTGAGTGGTTGGGGCTCGTAAATGGGCGGGGCTGGTGAGTGAGTGGGCGGGGCTGGTGAGTGAGTGGGCGGGGCTGGTGAGTGAACGGGCGGGGCTGGTGAGTGAACGGGTGGGACTGGTGAGTGAGCGGGCGGAGTTGTGAGTGAGCGGGCGGGCGCTGGTGAGTGGTTGGGGCTCGTGATTGAGTGGGCGGGGCTGGTGAGTGGGCAGGCGGAGTTCTGAGTGGGTGGGGCTGGTGATTGAGTGGGCAGGGCTGGTGATTGAGTGGGCAGGGCTGGTGATTGAGTGGGCGGGGCTGGTGTGTGAGTGGGCGGGGCCTGTGTGTGAGTGGGCGGGGCTGATGAGAGAGTGGGCGGGGCTGATGAGAGAGTGGGCGGGGCTGATGAGAGAGTGGGCGGGGCTGATCAGAGAGTAGGCGGGGCTTGTCAGTGCGTGGGCGGGGCTGGTGAGTGGGCGGAGTTGGTGAGTGGGGGGGGGGGCGAGGTCCCATTTGAGTGAGTGGGCGGGGCTGGCGAGTGAGTGGGCGGGGCTGGCGAGTGAGTGGGCGGGGCTGGCGAGTGAGTGGGCGGGGCTGATGAGAGAGTAGGCGGGGCTTGTCAGTGCGTGGACGGGGCTGGTGAGTGGGCGTAGTTGGTGAGTTGACGGGGCGAGGTCCCATTTGAGTGAGTGGGCGGGGCTGGCGAGTGAGTGGGCGGGGCTGGTGAGTGAGTGGGCGGGGCTGGCGAGTGAGTGGGCGGGGCTGGCGAGTGAGTGGGCGGGGCTGGCGAGTGAGTGGGCGGGGCTGGCGAGTGAGTGGGCGGGGCTGGCGAGTGAGTGGGCGGGGCTGGCGAGTGAGTGGGCGGGGCGGGCGAGTGAGTGGGCGGGGCTGGCGAGTGAGTGGGCGGGGCTGGCGAGTGAGTGGGCGGGGCTGGCGAGTGAGCTACTCGCTAACGGCACTTGCCCCAGCAGTCCGTTCAAGGCTGTACGGGGGATCTTTGTCTCGTGTGTGCAGGGCTGCAGCAGCGCCTGGCGCTGGTGCAGGGGCAGGCCGAGCGCGCGGCCGCGGAGGTGACGGAGCGGGAGGAGGCGCTGGAGGTGCTGAGGAGGGAGCTCTCACGCACAGAGCAGCAGCGCAAGGAGCTCAGCATCAAGGTGACTCCATCTTGGTGCCGCCCTCCCTCTCTCTTTATCCTGACCCCATCTTGGTACCGCCCCCCCTCTCTCTATCTCTATCCTGACCCCATCTTGGTACCGCCCCCTCTCTCTATCCTGACTCCATCTTGGTACCACCCCCCTTCTCTCTCTCTATCCTGACTCCATCTTGGTACCGCCCCCCCTCTCTCTCTATCCTGACTCCATCTTGGTACCGCCCTCTCTCTCTATCCTGACTCCATCTTGGTGCTGCCCCCCCTCTCTCTATCCTGACTCCATCTTGGTACCGCCCCTCTCTCTCTCTATCCTGACTCCATCTTGGTGCCGCCCCCTCTCTCTCTCTCTCTATCCTGACTCCATCTTGGTGCTGCCCCCCTCTCTCTATCCTGACTCCATCTTGGTACCGCCCCCCTCTCTCTCTCTCTATCCTGACTCCATCTTGGTACCGCCCCCTCTCTCTCTCTCTATCCTGACTCCATCTTGGTGCTGCCCACCCTCTCTCTCTCTATCCTGACTCCATCTTGGTGCCGCCCCCCCTCTCTCTCTCTATCCTGACTCCATCTTGGTGCTGCCCCCTCTCTCTATCCTGACTCCATCTTGGTACCGCCCCCTCTCTCTCTCTCTATCCTGACTCCATTTTTGTACCGCCCCCTCTCTCTCTCTATCCTGACTCCATATTAGTACCGCCCCCCCTCTCTCTCTCTATCCTGACTCCATCTTGGTGCCGCCCCCTCTCTCTATCCTGACTCCATCTTGGTGCCGCCCCCTCTCTCTATCCTGACTCCATCTTGGTGCTGCCCCCCCTCTCTTTATCCTGACTCCATCTTGGTACCGCCCCCTCTCTCTCTGTATCCTGACTCCATCTTAGTGCTGCCCCCCCTCTCTCTATCCTGACTCCATCTTGGTACCGCCCCCTCTCTCTCTGTATCCTGACTCCATCTTAGTGCTGCCCCCCCTCTCTCTATCCTGACTCCATCTTGGTGCCACCCCCCCTCTCTCTCTATCCTGACTCCATCTTGGTACCGCCCCCTCTCTCTATCCTGACTCCATCTTGGTACCGCCCCCCCTCTCTCTCTCTCTCCTGACTCCATCTTGGTGCCACCCCCTCTCTCTATCCTGACTCCATCTTGGTACCGCCCCCCTCTCTCTCTCCTGACTCCATCTTGGTACCGCCCCCCTTCTCTCTCTCTCTCTATCCTGGCTCCATCTTGGTACCGCCCCCCCTGACTCCATCTTGGTACCGCCCTCCCCTCCCCCCACCACCGATCCCAACGTAGGCCTCGAGCCTGGAGGTCCACAAGCGCTCGCTGGAGTCTCGCCTGGAGGAGCGCGACTCGCGCCTCAGGGAGCAGCAGGAGCAGCTGAGCAAGCACGCCAGCATGATCGCCGCCATTCACAGCCTGAGCGGCGGCGGCGCCAAGGCCCCAACATTCTCCCTCTAGGGGTCCCCTCTCTGTGGGGGTCCAAGGGTCTCATCCTCTCACCGTAGGGGGACCAGTCCCTCCCTGAGGGGACCCATTCCCTCCCTCTGGGGGTCCTTCCTCTCTCTGTCGGGGCCTGGTCCCCCTGTAGTGGCCTGGCTACACCACCAGGGGTCTACGGACCCCCTGTAGTGGCCTGGCTACACCACCAGGGGTCTACGGACCCCCTGTAGTGGCCTGACTATACCACCAGGTGTCTGTGTGGACCACCTGTAGTAGCCTGGCTCCACCAGGTGTCTGTGTGGACCCCCTGGCTACACCACCAGGGGTCTGCAGACCCCCTGTAGTAGCCTGGCTACACCACCAGGGGTCTACAGACCCCCTGTAGTGGCCTGACTATACCACCAGGTGTCTGTGTGGACCACCTGGCTACACCACCAGGTGTCTGTGTGGACCCCCTGGCTACACCACCAGGGGTCTGCAGACCCCCTGTAGTAGCCTGGCTACACCACCAGGGGTCTGTGTGGACCCCCTGGCTACACCACCAGGGGTCTGTGTGGACCCCCAGGCTACACCACCAGGGGTCTACGGACCCCCTGTAGTAGCCTGGCTATACACCCAGGGGTCTGTGGACCACCTGGCTACACCACTAGGGGTCTGCAGACCCCCTGCAGTAGCCTGGCTACACCACCAGGGGTCTGTGTGGACCCCCTGGCTACACCACCAGGGGTCTGCGTGGACCCCCTGGCTACACCACCAGGGGTCTGTGTGGACCCCCTGGCTACACCACCAGGGGTCTATGGACCCCTTGGCTACACCCCCAGGGGTCTATGGACCCCCTGGCTACACCACCAGGGGTCTGTGTGGAACCCAGAACCCCGTTGCCCTAATGAATTGCAGCGGCAAGGCTCCGTCGAATTCTACAATCGGAGTTGTGGTGGTGGTGGTGGTGGAGGTGTTTTTTTTTGTGTGTCGTCCTTGCTATTTAATGTCCTCGAGCGCGGGAAAAAATGTCTGCGACGTGAACCGTGAAATAATGGTGGGTTACAGTCGTTTTTATTTTTTATTTAAATGAATCGCAAATGAATTGAGGGTGGTCTGGTGAGGAGGATAACAACACCAAATAAAGCGTCTTGGATTTTTGTTGTTGTTGTTGTTGCGTGGACCAGCCCACCGGGGTGGCCAACAAGTCAGGACACGGGGGAATGATTGGAGGCGACGATGATGTTACTGAAGGCCGTGTGTGTCAGTCAACCCATGGCACCTGCAGGGTCTGTCCTGTGACCTCCTGCACCTAGCCTGGCACAGCAGTCAACCCATGGCACCTGCAGGGTCTGTCCCGTGATGACCTGCACCTAGCCTGGCACAGCGGTCAACCCATGGCACCTGCAGGGTCTGTCCACGTGACCTCCTCCTGCACCTAGCCTGGCACAGCAGTCAACCCATGGCACCTGCTGGGTCTGTCCCGTGACCTCTTCCTGCACCTAGCCTGGCACAGCAGTCAACCCATGGCACCTGCAGGGTCTGTCACGTGACCTGCACCTAGCTTGGCACAGCAGTCAACCCATGGCACCTACTGGGTCTGTCCCGTGACCTCCTCCTGCACCTAGCCTGGCACAGCAGTTAACCCATGGCACCTGCTGGGTCTGTCACGTGACCTCCTGCACCTAGCCTGGCACAGTAGTCAACCCATGGCACCTGCAGGGTCTGTCCCGTGACCTCCTGCACCTAGCCTGGCACAGCAGTCAGCCCATGGCACCTGCAGGGTTAGTCCCGTGACCTCCTGCACCTAGCCTGGCACAGCAGTCAACCCATGGCACCTGCAGGGTCTGTCCCGTGACCTCCTGCACCTAGCCTGGCACAGCGGTCAACCCATGGCACCTGCAGGGTCTGTCCCGTGACCTGCCATCAATGGGCGTCGGACACATCAAGTGGCATTGAAGTCCACCTAGCCTGGCACAGGGCCATCGTGGTGACGTCACCTCCACTTAAGTGTGGCGAATGGCTTGTTGTTGTTGTGTGTCTTTGTGATCACGAAACACCATTTACCCCAACAGTCTGTTCAAGGCTGATATGGCAGTGTTCTTCATTTGTGGGTCTCTGTGTGAGTCTGTGGGTCTCTGTGTAAATCTATGATACTGAGTCTATGGCTCTTGAGTATGACACTGTACGTCTATGGGTCTCCCTATGAGTCTGTGTCTCTGTGCGAGTCTGTGGATCTTTGTGTGAGTATGGATTTCTGAGTCTATGGGGTTCTGTGTGAGTCTGTGGGTCTCTATGTGAGTCTGTGGGTCTCGATGTGAGTCTGTCGGTCTCGATGTGAGTCTTTGGATCTCTGTATGAGTCTATGGGTCTTTGTGGGTCTGAGTATGATCCTACGTACGTCTATGGGTCTGTCTATGAGTCTGTGTCTCTGTGTGAGTCTATGGCTCTCTGTGTGAGTCTATGGGTCTGTGTGAGTCTATGGGTCTCTGTGTGAGTCTATGGGCCTCTGTGTGAGTCTATGGGTCTCTGTGTGAGTCTATGGGTCTCAGTGTGAGTCTATGGGTCTCTGTGAGTCTATGGGTCTCTGTGTGAGTCTATGGGTCTCTGTGTGAGTCTATGGGTCTTTGTGTGAGTCAATGGGTCTGCGAGTCTATGGGTCTCTGTGTGAGTCTATGGGTCTTTGTGTGAGTCAATGGGTCTGTGCGAGTCTATGGGTCTGTGCGAGTCTATGGGTCTCTGTGTGAGTCTATGAGTGTGTGAGTCTACGGGTCTCTGTATGAGTATATGTGTCTCTGTGAGTCTATGGGTCTGTGTGAGTCTATGGGTCTGTGCGAGGCTATGGGTCTGTGTGAGTCTATGGGTCTCTGTGTGAGTCTATGGCTCTCTGTGCGAGTCTATGGGTCTGTGCGGGTCTATGGGTCTGTGTGAGTCTATGGGTCTCTGCAAGTCTATGGGTCTCTGTGCGAGTCTATGGGTCTCTGTGTGAGTCTATGGGTCTCTGTGCGAGTCTATGGGTCTCTGTGTGAGTCTGTGGGTCTCTGTGCGAGTCTATGGGTCTCTGTGCGAGTCTATGGGTCTCTGTGTGAGTCTATGGGTCTGTGTGAGTCTGTGGGTCACTGTGTGAGTCTATGGGTCTGTGTGAGTCTGTGGGTCTCTGTGTGAGTCTATGGGTCTCTGTGCGAGTCTATGGGTCTGTGCGAGTCTGTGGGTCTCTGTGTGAGTCTATGGGTCTCTGTGTGAGTCTATGGGTCTCTGTGTGAGTCTATGGGTCTCTGTGCGAGTCTATGGGACTCTGTGTGAGTCTATGGGTCACTGTGTGAGTCTATGGGTCTCTGTGCGAGTCTATGGGTCTGTGCGAGTCTGTGGGTCTCTGTGTGAGTCTATGGGTCTCTGTGTGAGTCTATGGGTATCTGTGTGAGTCTACGGGTCTCTGTGTGAGTCTGTGTTTCTGTGTGAGTCTATGGGTCTCTGTGTGAGTCTACGGGTCTCTGTGTGAGTCTACGTGATCTGTGTGAGTCTATGTGTGTCTGTGAGTCTATGGGTCTCTGTGTGAGTCTATGTGTCTCTGTGTGTGTCTATGAACCACGATGACGGCACAGACCACGATGACGACACACACCACCACGATGACGACACACCACCACGATGACGACACACCACGATGACGACACAGACCACGATGACGACACAGACCACTGTTATTGTGTCTTCCCACGTGACTTTGGCGAAAGGATCAACAAGAAACTCTACTGTAGGGATTTCAGTTCGGAGCGGGCAGGAGACTCCCGTAGCCGTGGCTAATAAGGGTCACGTGTTACTAAGGGGCCGATCATAAATGACGTCACGTGAATTTGGACGATTTTTGACCCCCCCTCAAATATGACGTCACAAAGCTCCGCCCCCCAAAATAATTAAATAAAACATGCTTCAAATCCCTTTAAACTATTGTCATTGTAGCTGCGTATTTAGTGTGTGGCGCTTACAACTCTGATGTTGTAGGAGAAAACATTTATTTAACAAGTCTATTAAATTAAGTGTAACGTGTTGTCCATGTTTATTTAAAGTTGCGTATTTGTGATGTGCCCGACGTTTCGCTGCCCGTACCCGGCGGCAGCTTCTTCACGGAGCCAGACCCGGCCGCTCGGTGTGTTTGTGGTGTCCTTTCCACTGCAGGAGCCGTGCCGTGCCGTGCCGTGCTAGCCCCACACCCCCACCCACCCACTCCCGGCTCGTCCATGCAGAAGCTCCCTCGATCCGCTCCCCTCCTCCCCCACAGGGCAAGGTGCGGCACCGAAACGTCGGATGTCGCCCCCAACAACAGCAGCAACAAGAACGCGTGGGGGGAGCCGCACGTGAAATGTGGTGGTGGTGATGGTGGTGGTGATGGTGGTGATGGTGGTGGTGGTGGTGACGACGATGATGGTGGTGGTGGTAGTGATGATGGTGGTGTTAGTGGTGATGGTGTTAGTGATGGTGGTGGTGTTAGTGATGATGATGGTGGTGGTGCTGTTAGTGGTGATGATGATGGTGGTGCTAGTGGTGATGGTGGTGGCAGTGATGATGATGATGGTAGTGGTGCTAGTGGTGATGGTGGTGGTAGTGATGATGGTGATGGTAGTGATGATGGTGGTAGTGATGATGGTGGTAGTGATGATGGTGTTGTTAGTAGTGATGATGATGATGGTGGTGGTAGTGATGATGGTGGTGGTAGTAATGATGGTGGTAGTGATGATGGTGGTAGTGATGATGGTGGTGGTGTTCGTAGTGATGATGGTGGTGGTAGTAATGATGGTGGTGGTAGTGATGATGGCGGTAGTGATGATGGTGGTGGTAGTGATGATGGTGGTGGTGTTAGTGATGATGGTGGTGGTGGTGGTAATGATGATGGTGGTGTTAGTAGTGATGATGGTGGTGGCAGTAATGATGGTGGTGGTAGTAATGATGGTGGTAGTGATGATGGTGGTGGTGTTAGTAGTGATGATGATGGTGGTGGTAGTGATGGTGGTGATAGTGATGATGGTGGTGGTAGTGATGGTGGTGGTGTTAGTGATGATAGTGGTAGTGATGATGGTGGTAGTAATGATGGTGGTAGTAATGATGGTGGTAGTAATGATGGTGGTGTTAGTGATGATGGTCGTGGTGTTAGTGGTGATGATGGTGGTGGTAGTGATGATGGTGGTAGTGATGATGATGGTGGTAGTGATGATGGTGGTCGTAATGATGATGATGGTAGTGATGATGGTGGTAGTAGTAATGATGGTGGTGGTAATGATGGTGGTGGTAGTGATGATAGTGGTAGTGATGATGATGGTGGTAGTAATGATGGTGGTAGTGATGATGGTGGTAGTGATGATGGTGGTGGTAGTGATGATGGTGGTAGTAATGATGGTGGTGGTAGTAGTGATGGTGGTGGTAGTGATGATGGTGGTGGTGTTAGTAGTGATGATGGTGGTGGTGGTAATGATGATGGTGGTGGTAGTGATGATGGTCGTAGTGATGGTGGTGTTAATAGTGATGATGATGGTGGTAGTGATGATGGTGGTGGTAGTAATGGTGGTGGTAGTGATGATGATGGTAGTGATGGTGGTGGTAGTGATGGTGGTGGTGGTAGTGATGATGGCGGTGGTAGTGATGATAGTGGTAGTGATGATGATGGTAGTGATGGTGCTGGTGGTCTTAAAGCCAACCCCCTGGTTTAATTAATTCCGTAAGCTCTGCTTCACAGTGGCCTAAACAACAACACCACCACTGTGGGGGGCGGGAGGGGGGGCTTGTGACGTTACTGCAGCGAGGTGCCAGGCTGGGTGCAGGGACAGGCCACGTGGTGGGACCACGGGATCAGCGGTGGCGTCGCGCGTAGCGGCAATGGGCATCGGGGTCAAGGGTCAAAGGCCAGAGGTCAGATGTCACCAGCGGGGGGGGGAGGGGGTCTCCATTGACTCACACGGAGACCCATAAACTCACACGGAGACTCATAGACTTACACGGAGACCCGTAGACTCACACAGAGACCCATAGACTCCCACAGAGACCATAGACTCGCATGGAGACCCATAGACTCGCACAGAGACCCATAGACTCACACATAGATTCATAGACTCACACAGAAATCCATAGATTCACACAGAGACCCATAGACTCACACATAGATTCATAGA